ACGCCGCCGCCCGCGGCGGACTTTTTCCGCGCGCTCGTCATCATCAGCGCGCCGCCGTCGCCGCCGAGCTCCGCGAGGAGCTCGGCGGACATCATCGGCGCCGCGCCGTCGTCCGTCGACGTCGCCATCCTCGACGCGCGCGCCCAGAATGGGTGCGCGCGTGTCGAGGCGGGACGTCGCGAGGAGACGCAATGCGGCACCTCTCGGACACGACGAGACGGCATTCGTTGGTTGAAGTCATGAGCTCACGCCGACTTTCCATCGGCGTCGAATCTTCAATCATTCCACGCCGCGCCGCACATGGGCGACACGTTCGCTCCCATCGGCGAGGTCATCGAGTCCGCGTTCGGCGACGGGTTCACGGGCATCATGGTCGCGCTCGTGATCGCGTACCTCGTCGCCGGAGTGCTCGTGTTCAACCTCCCGAACCCGCTGCGGTACTTCGCGCCGGGCGCGAGCGCGCGCCGAGCGAAAGAAAGAGCGCGGAAGACCGCCGTCGCGAACGGCGAGACCCCGGAGGAGGAGACGTTCCCGGACCCGATGCCGCCCGGAGACCTCACGAACGAAGAGCTCAGGCGGTACGACGGCTCGAACCCCGCGCTGCCGATCCTCCTCGCGGCGAAGGGGCGCATCTTCGACATGACGCGCGGACGCGACTTCTACGGGAAGGGCGGGCCGTACAACTGCTTCGCCGGGATCGACTGCTCGCGCGCGCTCGCGAAGGTGAGCCTGGAGAAGAAGGACCTGAACGCGAACTGCGCGGATCTGTTCGCGAGCGAGAGGGACGTGCTGAACGACTGGGTCGCGAAGTTCGAGGCGAAGTACCCGGTCGTCGGGAACGTCCTCGACTCCACCTACGACGGCGCACCCTAGAGCTAGGGCATCACCATCAGCATTATTACTGTAGAATGTCGCGTGCCATCATCATCAAGACCTTCTCTTCTATCCGACGCGTCTCGCCACTCGCGCCCGCACGGCTACTAGATGGCCGCGAGCGCCGCTCGAGCCGTCGCCCGTCTCGCCTCGCGCGCGTCCCACGCCTCCGTCGGCTCCGCGCGCGTGCCCTCGACGAGCGCTCCTCGATCGTCGTCGCGTTGCCGATCTCACCGCGCGTCTCGCCGCTCGCTCGCGCTCCCGTGCCTCCTCACCGTCTTCGCGTCGTCCCCGTTCGCGTCCGCGGCGAACAGCGCGATCGACATGTCCGCGAAGTACCCGAAACCGATCGTCGTGGACGCACCCGAGGGCGGCAACGCGACCGCGGCGTGCATCTTCCTGCACGGCCTGGGCGACACCGGGCACGGCTGGGCGGACGTCGCGTCGCAGATGCCGTTCGAGGGAGTGAAGTGGATCTTCCCCACCGCGCCCACCATCCCGATCACGCTCAACGGCGGCGTGAGGATGACGGGGTGGTACGACATCAACGACCTCTCGGTCGAGGGCATCGTGGACGACCGCGAGGAGACGCTCGCGTCCGCGAAGTATATCGACTCGATCGTCGACGGCGTCGTCGCGGAGGGGATCGACCCGTCGCGAATCATCGTCGGCGGATTCTCCCAGGGCGGCGTCGTCGCGTTGACGGCGGCGCTGCGCAGCGACAAGAAGCTCGCCGGCTGCGCGGCGCTGAGCACTTACCTCGCGATGCGAGACGACTACCCCGCCGCGCTGGGTCCGCACGCGAAGTCGCTGCCCGTGTTCCTCGCGCACGGCACCGCGGACCAGGTGCTCCGGTACGAATACGGGACGCTCACGAACGAGAAGCTCGGCGCGTTGGGCGTGAGCGTGGACTTCAAGACGTACCGGGGGATGGGGCACAGCGCGTGTCAGGAGGAGTTTCAAGCGCTCGCGACGTTCATCGCGTCGTGCTTGAAGTGAGCGAGCGAGCGCGGTGCGTGTACGAGTACGTTAACGAAGAAAGATGTTACGACAAGGCTAGCCGGCGAAAGAACGCCGACTTTTGGCGCTACAGCAACACGACGAAGCTCTACAGCAACACGACGAAGCTCTTTTCGCCCTCCTTGCGAATCCTCGCGATGCGCGATATCGTCGCCTTGAGCTCGTTCTTGTCCGCGTCCGTGTTGAGCAGCCCTCTCTTCCGCAGCTGCTTCGTGACGTCCTTCGTCGTCGGCTTCGCCCCGCGCCGGAGGAGCTCCCGCAGCGCGGCCTCGATCGGCGGATACGCCGCGGCGACGGCGGCGGGCTCGCGCTCCGTCTTCGCCGCCTTCCCCGGCCTGGCGGCGACGTCGTCGTCCGACCTCGCGCGCTTGATCCCGGCGCCGGCCGCCGTCGGCTCTTGCTTCACGGCCGCCGCCGCCGCCGCCGCTTCAGAAGCGGCGGTCGCGCGCGCCATCGCCTCCGCCTCCTGCTTCGCCATCTCCGCGGCGCGCGCCTGAAGCTTGTTCTGCTGCTGCAAGAGAAACGGGTGCAGCTCCTCCTGGTCCGGGTCCACAAACTCGGAGTCGCTGTCGCTGTCGCTCAGGCCTCCGTTCATTCCCCCGAGGCCCTCCGCGCTGCCCCCTAACCCGCGCATGATCGTCCCGTCCTCTTGCTTCCCGAGCAGCCTGCGCATCTCCTTGCCCTCGTCGTCCAGCTCGTCGTCGCCGTCGTCGTCGCTGTCGTGCGCGAGCCTCGGCGGCGGCGGCGGCGGCGGCTCCTCCATCTCGAGCTCGTCCGCCTCCCCGGCGCCCTCGTCGTCGCTCGCGCCCTCGTCGTGCTCCCAGTCGTCGCCCTCGACTTTCGCGATACCTCGCGCGCCCGGCGCGTTCTCCGCGTTCGCGGCGTCTTTTTTCTCGTCGTCGTCGTCCCCCGCTGCGGCTTTCTTTTTCCTCTTTCTCTTCGAGTCGTAATCGTTGTCGTCGTCGTCGTCGCTCGACACCGCGGCTTTCACGTCCCTCGAGCCGCTGTCGCTGAGGCCGTCGTCGTCGTCGCCGCCGCCGCCGGTGTGTGCCTCGAGCCACTTGCTCGCGTTCGTCGCTCGTTTCCCCGCGGCCTCGATCTGATCCTCCGCCTCCTCCAACGTCAGCACGCGACGCGACGCGTCCGCGCGAAAGTTGTACCATCGCTCCAGAGGCACCGCGCACACGTCCGACGTGTTCGCTTGCATCATGAGCAGGTAGAAGTTCCCCGTCTGCCCCGCCTCTCTCGCGCCGGTGAAGACGCTCTTTTGCTTGCCCCCGTTCGCGAGCGCGAGCGGCGGGAACGCGGTCTCGACGTCGGACGTCACCGTCCTGAGCTGCCAGTCCACGGGCGCGGCCTTTCCGCTCTTAAACTTGGGCGGCTTCGCGCCCGCGAACCGCCCGACGACGTACCGACGCACGGGCGCGAACGCTCTGACGGCGTAGGCCTTCGTCAGGACGCCGTGGACTTCCGCGTCGTCCGCGAACGCGGGCGTCTCCGCGGGGAACGGCCTTCCCGTCGCGGGATCGCACAGCTCGAGCGCTAACCCGGGGTAGGTTTCTCTCAGCATCGTCGTCACGTCCGCCCTCGCGCTGAGCACCGCGGCGATCGCGTTCGCGGGCGTCGCGGGGGGCGGGACGGGCACGACGACGTGCGCGTCCTCGCTCGCGAACTTGAACCGCAGCTTGACGGGCGCGGGGACGATGTCCCCCATGGCGGCGACGCGCGAGATCGTGTGCGCGACGAGCAGCCTCGAGATCATTGTTGACGTTCGAGGCGAGCGCGAGCGCGGCCGCTTCAGTTGGTGGTTCGAACTCTCAAACGCTGACGTCCGTTTTTCGAGCGGCGCGGCGGAGGGGCGCGACGCGGACGCGGACGAGCGGCTGAACACGCGTGTTGAGACTCTCTCCACTATTACAAATCTCGAATCCGCCGCGAGCGCTCTAACAGCGTTCTCGCGGCCACGACGCGCGCCGCTCGCGCGCGTCGCCACCCGCCTCTGTCCTCCTATCGTCGCCTCGTCGCAAAAGGTTTTATCACGCATCATCAGATCGCGTCGACGTCATCCGTCGATTTAAAGGCTCGCGAGGTGCTCCGGGATCGACATGATGTTCGACGCCATGTTGCACCCGAACGGGTCCGTGACGTGATCCTTAAGCGCCGCGACCGGACCTTCGCGGTACACGATCGCCTGGACGACGATGCCGACGAACGCGATCATCGCGAGGCGGCCGTTTTTGATCTCCTTGACCGCCATGCCGTCGCTGTTCATCCCCATGGGGTCCCACGGGAATTGGTCGACCACGCCAGACTTGCCGGTGTCGAGCCAGCCGCGGATGCGCTTGAGCTCGAGGATGCCCATCACCGGGAACTGAATCGCGAGGAGCGCCAGGGGCGGGAAGTCAAAGTCCGCGGCGCCGACGTCGTACCACGCGGGGCCGATCCCGAGCACCTCAGGGTCGTTCCATACAAAGCGATGGCGGGGTGGAGTTGAAAGGCGTCAGTTGAAGTTGAAAGGCGTCGCGGTCGGGGATTGAAAGCGAGGGACCCTGGGCGGAGAGATGCGCCGGCAAAAGTCCTTAAGGATCGGCGTTCACCACGCGAACGCGGTCGTATGGGGACCAGTGTATAGAACGCACCTCAGTCGCCGTGATGCCCGCGACGGCCATCATCGCCCACCGCGCGTTCATGAGCTCAGCCTCCTGGTAGTACTTCAGGCGCTGGGGGTCCGCGCCGAGGCCGAGGGGATCGAACCCGAAGTCGCCGGGGAGGGTGCCGTCGAGGTGCGCGGGCGCGACCGTGGAGTCCTTGATCCTGTCGCGTTCGAACATCGATTCGAGAGGACGGACGATCGACGCGGGGAGGGGGAGGCTCTCGCGTCAGAAAAGGCGACGAGGTCGAGGGGTCGCGCGCGCGATGGGGAGGGACGAAAACGACGCGAGCGGCGTCTCCGCGTCGCGCGATCGCGACGTCGGCGCGCGCGAGGGCGCGCGACGCGATGTCGCCGCGCGCGCGCGCGTCGCGCGCCGCGATCCGCGCCGCGACGACGCGAACGGTCGCGAGGGTGGGATATGTATCGCGACAAGATGCCATCACATGAATCACCCCGTGCCGCTCGCGAGCGACGGAAACGACGGCGACCGCGCGCGCGCGACGATCGCGACGCGTCGCGGACGTCGCGAACGCGTCGACGCGATCGCGACGAAGACGCGGACGCGCGACGAGGAGCGGTCGACGAGCGAGTCGCGCACCAGAGCTCGCGCTGCGCCTTGACCGTGAGGCTCGCGCGGGACGAAACTTTCATCGCCGGGGCCGCGACGAACGCGGCGCGGGAGCCCGCGAACGCGGAGCGCGCGCCGCGAACGGCGGACACCGCGGTGAGAGACGTGGTGGTGAGAGCGGCCATCTTCGTTGAAGGGGGCGTGCGGTGTGTGTGCGGGAATGCCTCGTCTCCGGCCGGCATCGCGCGGCGTCTTCGCTCGCGACGACGCTTTCTTTCAACTCTCCCGCCACGCTCTCATTGGTCAGAACCGTTTTTCCGTGATTTCGTCGTTGAAAGCACCGCGTCCTCCTTTCAACGCGCGCGTTCACCGGCAATTTTTCACCCACGCGCGCCGATCAAATTTCTCGCTTAGACCCGAACCAAAAAGAGCTCGACGCTCGACTCCTCGACGCGAGCGCTGCATTCGAGGTCGTAGGGTTTCAGCTCTCGACGCGCGCGCGTCGTCACTTCCGAAGTCGCGCTCGCACGCACGACAGAATGGCGACTCTTTCCCTGTGCGCGTCCATGTCTAGCCTCGCGGTGTCGAGGCCGAAGGCGACGCTCTCCTGCAAGTCCCCGGCGAAGGGCATGACGATGAAGGCCGCGCTCGCGGGTGCGTGAGAGCGCGGAAACTCGGAATCTCGCGCGCGTCGACGACGCCTCGCAATTCGTCGCCGTCGTCGTCGCGGAGAACGCGCGGCCTCGCGCCGTCGCTCGCCCGCGACGCGTCGACGCGGCTCGAATCAGTCCCCATGCTATCGCGTCGCCGCGCGCGCCGCCCCGGCGCGCGTCGCGCGTCGCGTCGCTCGCCGTCGTCCCCCGACCCGTCGACGCCGCTCCGGCATCGAAAACCCTCGCTGACGCGCTCCGCCTCTCCCCTTTCCTTATCCAACTGTCATCCGACAGCCCCGACGCCGTTCCGCGCGGTCGCGCTCCGCACGCCGACGACGCACGGCCGCGGCGCGCTCGTCGTCGTCGCGGGCGGCAACAGCATCGGGAACACGCTCCACGGCACGCGCCGCGCGCGCGCGCGCACGTCCGGTTTCCGCGCGCGCTTGCAGTCCCCCACCGGCCGCAGGGTGCTCAAGGCGCGGAGGGCGAAGGGTCGCAAGTACCTCGCCCCCGCGGGCGCGGTGAACGGGTGGAACAGGGAGAAGAAGAAGTCCCTCAAGTGATCGAGTGATGGGCGACTTAGTTCTTACGCGCACGTACTGTAGGGGGGGATTCTTTATAGCGGGGTGACGGCGAGGAGGCGAGGACGAGCGGAGACGACGAGGCGCGCGGAGGACGGAACGCGTCGGAATCTCGTAGTCGCGGTTCTTTGTGAATACGCATGTCGTGACGTGTCCGCGCGCCTCACCACACCGCGCCGCCGCTCCCTCGCGACCGCGCGCTTTCATCACCTCACATCCGCTCGACCTCCTCCTCGTCGTCGTCGTCGTCGCCGCTGTCCTCCCCTCCCTCGCACTTGCGCGCCAACGTCAGCAACGTCTCGCTCGTCTCCTCCGCGTCGTCGGCGGCGACCCCCCACTGCGACAGCAACGCCTTCCCCGCGCCCGCTCGCGACGCCCTGCGCCACTCGTCGTTCACGCGCCGCAGCTCTGCGCCGTACGTCGACGTCGACGCGACGCGCGTCATGATCGGCGCGCTCGACGGGTTCCGAGAGGAGGGCCCCCCCCCGCTCGCGAAGAGAGACGGAAACGGCAGCGGCAGCGGCAGCGGCGCGGCGTGGACGCACCGCGTCCTCGGGACGCGGTACGTCGCCGCGCGGAGCGCGGCGTCGAGGCCGCGCCGCGCGTCCTCGACGCTCGCGCGCGCGCCGTCGTGGGTTCTCGCCCCGCGCAGGACGTACAGCTCGGCGCGCGGCTCGACGACGTCGCGATCGACGCACCCGGGGGTGAGCGCGACGGCGTCGGCGTCGTCGGCGAGCGACGCGGCTCGTTCGCGCGCCGCCGCGTCCCTCGCCTCCTCCTCGCGCTCGAACCCAGACCCAGACCGCTCTTTCTCCGCGCGGCGGCGCTGCTTCGCCTCCTCCTCCCTAGCGAGCTCGCCCGCGCTCGCGACGGCGCCGCACGGGAACCACGCGTCGACGGCGACGAACGGGCCGTCGGCGTTGACGCGCCGCGCCGTCGCGCGCATGTCGCCGGCGCCGACGCCGTCGCGCGCCCGCGTCCGCCACGGCGTCGACGACGACTCCACGCACGCGGCCGCGAGCGCGGTGCCGTGGTACTTCGAGCGCGCGTCCAACCCGGCAAGGAGCTTCGCCCGCGACGCGGAGAGCGGACGCAGACCGAGCTGCAGCGGCGCGTACAGCTCGCACTCGGCGCCGAGCGTCGCCGACGCGAGCGCCTCGTTGAGAAGCGCCGCGCGGAAGTCCCCTCTCGCGTCGTCCGGACTCGCGCTCGACGTTGTTAATTCTTCTCTCGACGCGCGCAGCGAGTGCGCGCACGTCGGCGTCGCGCTCCCGTACTCGTCCCTGAGCTCCTCGAGCGCGGCGGCGGCGAACCCTCCGAACCCTCCGAGGTCGTCGAGGAGGACGTTGAAGCCTCGCAACGCGTCGCACTCCTCCGCGAAGAAACGTATCCGGTCTCGGACCTCCTCTCTTCTGTCCTCGGTCTCGATCCACGCCGCGCCCTCGCCGAAGCCCGCGAACGCGTCGACGCCGTGCCACAACCCGGTGAGAAGGCACGCGCTCCGCGGGTGGAACATAGCTTTGCCGAAGTCCGTCCAGCTGTTGACTTCGCCCGGCGTCTCGAGACGCGCCGCGGACGCCTCCAAACGCGCGGCGGCTTCTTCCCGTCGCTTCTTCTTCGCCTCCTCCTTCGCTCTCTTCGCCTCCGCGTCGAGCGAGGAGAGCGAGGGTTTTGGTTTTGGTTTTGGTTTTTTCCCCGGCGACGCGAGGATGTGGCTCGTCATCTTCGCGCGCAGGGCGTCGATCGCGTCCGCGCCGCCGCCGCCGCCGCCGCCGCCGCCGCCGCCCCATTTCTTCCGCTTCCGCCCGTCCTCCTCCTCCTCCTCCTCCATCTCCTCCATCTCCTCGTCGGTGTCCATCCTGTCGTCCGCGTCCGCGCCGTCTTCCCCCTCGTCGTCCTCGTCTCTCCAACGCTCCTGGTCGTCCTCGAGCTCGCGAAGGAACGACGACTTGCGCTCCGGGTCTCGCCGAACGACTTTCGCGGCGCCGCCGTCCCACGTGAGCACGGGCGGGGGGAGATCGCCGTCGCCGACGACGCCCGCGCCGTCGCCGTACAGGTGCCCGGCGCGTTTCACGCCGCCCATGGCGCCGCACAGGTCGAAGAACACGAGCCTGGGGACGTACGTCGGCGCGCCCTGCGATGAGGGAGGGAGGGAGGGAGGGAGGGAGAGCGAGGTGGAGCTCAGGGACGCGGCGAGAGAAGAGACGAGACGAGACGCGACGCGACGAGACGACAGAGGTGGGCACCGGTCGCGCGCGCGCACCGAGTGCGTCTCTCCCACGCGGTACGTGACGCCGGAGTCGAGGTCCGCGTACGCGCTCGCGTCCGCGTCGTCGCTCTCGGCCAAGCCTTGGGTCTCATCCTGGGACGATGGAGGACGCGGAGGGGGAGGGCGCGTCAGATCGGCGCCGCGGCGCGGCGCGGCGCTTCCGAGCGAGCGAGCGACGCGATCGATCGGTCGATCGCTCCGAGACGCGGGCGACGCGGCGACGGACGCGCGGAGGAGGGCATCACCTGAAAGTTCCAGAAGTGCGCGCCCGTCCAGTTCGCGCGCGATCCGAACTGGAGCGTGATGACCTCGCCGAGGGCGCCGGACGCCATGGCGCGCGTCGAGATGTGCGCGCCGCGGAGATGAAGTTCTTCGACGAACGCGAACGAACCGTCGAGTCGCGCGCGAGCGAGATCTCGCTCTCGTCACAATTCGCCCGCGCCGGGCGGGGATGGCGACGTCCGAGGGCGATGAAGCCGGCGAAGGCAGCCGCGGCGGCAGCCTCCGCCCCGAGCACGACGTCGCGGACCTCACCGAGGACGACGACGACGACCCGAACCGCGACCGCGGGATGAAGCTCGTCGGCGGCGAGGGCGGCGATTTCGTCGCGCGCGCGCTGTCCACCGCGGACGACGTCGCGGACGCGATCCGCAGGGTGCAAGACCAAGGCGCGCTGTCCACGACGGAGTCGGAGAGCACGGAGCCGCTCCTCGGGCTCCTCGGGCAGCTCGGAATGACGCGCGCGGAGTCGTACGAGGCGATGCTCGACGACGCGCTCGCGCTCCTTCGCGCGCGGATCGAATCGATGTCGCAGGGGAAACTCCTGACGCTGCTCGACGAGTCCTTCCCGTACATCGGCATCGAGGAGCTCAAGGCGATCCCGCTCGCGGCGCTGGAGCGACTGAAGCCCGTCCCGAGCTCGTACCTGAAGCAAATCTCTCGAGACGCGGACCTGTTCCGGCAGCTCCCACCGGACGTGCAGCGGCAGTGCTGGGAGTTGAGACCGGCGTTGCTCCGCAGACACGCCGCGCCGGTGCTCGTCGCGTACAGGTGCGTTCTATACACTGGTCCCCATACGACCCCGTCGGCGTGGTGAACGCCGATCCTTAAGGACTTTGCCCGGCGTGTCTCTCCGCCCACCCCTCGCTTTCAATCCCCGTCCTCGACGCCTTTCAACTCCAACTGACGCCTTTCAACTCCACCCCGACATTCGCTTGTATGGAACGACCCTACAGCGAAGAGACGGCGACGACGATGCGCAACCTGGACTCGGACCTCGTGCTGACGCCGCTGAACGCGGAGGAGGAGTGGGGGCTGTACCCGCCCGGGCAAGCCCCCGCGGAGGGTCCGTCCGCGCCGAGGGCGGCGCCGGGGTTGCCGCGGCGGTCGCTCCGCCGCGCGTCCGCGTCCGTCGCGCGTCTCAAGAAGATCGTCGGCGACAGCCAGGTGCGTTCTGTACAAACGTTTGTTTTTCACCCATCGCCCGGTTTCAACATTTGATCGCGTGGGTCCCTTTCAACTGACCGATGAACTCACATTTTTTTGTATGGAACGACCCTCAGACGCTGTACCTCGGGATCGTGTCGCTGTGTCGCGCGCAGTACGCCGAGCACGGGTCCCCCGCGGCGTGCTCGCTTCGATCGCAGTTCTTAATGGCGCTGCACGACGAGGAGCAGACGGATCTGTGCGCGAGTGATCGGTGCCATCGCCTCGCGTGGCTCGCGGACGCGTGCGCGCGCGACAGGTGCGTGGACGGGCGGCGGCTGACGGAGATTTTGCAGCTCGTGGAGACGGCGGTGTTCGACGCGAGCGCGGGCGAACGCGCGGCGGCGACGGAGCGGAAGAAGAAGGCCGCGGCGGCGAAGAAGGCGGAGGCGGCGGCGAAGAAAGCCGCGGCGGCGGCGGCGGCGGCGGTGGAGCGGAAAGAGCGCGCGGCGGCGGCGCGCGTCAAGCCGAAGATGAAGGTGCAGTTCACGTTCGGGAAGAAGCCCCCGGCGGCGGCCGTCGCGGACGGCGACGAGCCCGCGGTGGAGGAGGACGGAGAGAGAGAGAAACCCGCCACCGTCGCGGACGCGGACGCGGATGCCGCCTCGAAGCCCCCGGACGACGCCCCCGTCCCGGCCGCGATGGACGTCGCGGACGGGGAGGAGGACGCGCCGACGCCGACGCCGACGCCCGGCCCCGCGCTCGCGGCGGTGAGCGTGGGAGGCAACAACACCGCCGTCGGCGACGACGACGACGACGGAAACGGCGGCGGCGAGAGCGACGCGCCGGCGGGGAGTATCTCGCGCGTGAACGACATCGGCGGGGCGTCGGACGAGAACCTCCTCGGCGATCTCGGGATGGTGTTGCGGGACCCTCCGGTGTTGAACTTGTTGCTTCACGAGATCGTGCGGACGCTGGAGACGCTCGCGCGCGGCGTCGGGACGAAGGGCAAGGCCAGCGGAAATCGCCTCGGCGGTCTCACGAGGCTCGTCGCGATCGCCCTCGGCGCGAGGAGAGTGCTGCGAGAGTCGAAACCGCGAAGGGAGCCGACGATGCCGGCCGCGCCGAAAGAGGCGACGGAGGAGTTCTACCCGCTTCTGCGTTCGATGTTGGAAGAGTCCATCGCGCGCGCGGCGGCGGGCGAGGGCGACGAAGACGACGCCGTCGCGCGCGCGAGGGAGGAGAAGGAGGACGGCGAGGCCGAGGAAGGGGAACTGAATCGAAGCGACTACGTCGAGGAGAAGATCGAGCACGTCGGCGAGGACGGCGAGATCACGATCGAGACGCGGCTCGTCCCCAAGGCGAAAGGGTTGACGTTCAAGATGATGTCCCCGGCGGCGGCGCGGCACGCGAGGCTCGTCTCGCTGATTTCCGAAGGCGACCTGATGCGCAAGGTGGCGCTGACGTACGCGCTGCGACGGCTGCATCACGGCGACGTCCGCGCCGCGCGTCCGGTGTTGCGCGCGATCGCGAACGGCGGCGCGTCGGACGCGAGCGTGTTGGACGAAGCCGCCGCTGCCGTGACGCTGGCGCGGCGGCTCGCGGCGTTGAACTCGGGCGTCCGCGCCGTCGCCGCCGCCGCGCCCGGGACGTCGTGTTGGAAGCACGCCGTGGACGGGTTCTTACTCCGCGCGTGCGTCGCGAGCATGGAGACGCACGAGGAAGTTCTGAGGTTGATACTCGCCGTGACGGACCGGCCGACGATGACGGACGACGTCCTCGCCGGGCTCGTCGAGACGACGCTGCACGCGACGCGGAAATCGAGAAGGACGCACAAGCGCCGCGCGAAACAGATCGTGTACGAGTACGAACCGCTGCAGCCGCTGCAGCGCGGGGTCGTCGCCGGGCGCCTCGGCCTGGGTCTGGGCGGCGGCTTGCTTCACGGCGGCGGGGCCGGGGGCGCGTTCCACGGCGGCAGCGGGACGGACACCGGGTACGCCTCCGCGGGCGTCGGCGGCGGGACATCGGCGGCGGATTCGGACACGGACCGCCCGGGGTCGCCCGGTTTCGGCGGCGGCGTCGACGGCGTGCGGGCGACGTATCAGCTCCTCGCGCAGCAAGCGAGCGGGAGATTGACGGAGGAGAGAGCGCCGAAGTTGCACGAGTACCTCGCGCGGCGGGATCGGAGAGACATGCGACGCGCGGGGGGAGCGGACCGGCCGTTCTCCCCGGACGGGACCGATTCGCGACCGTTTTCGCCGTGAGCGTCGAACGAACGCGGTACAACATGTCAACGCACGACGGATTGTCGTCTCTCATTCCTATTCCTTCTTCACGCTCACCGCGACCCCTACACCCGTATCCTCGTCGTACTCCACCTGAAGCTCGTTGCCCTCCCCCGCGCTCACGTGCACTTCCTCGCCGTCCTCCGTGACGAAGGTGAGTCCGTCCTTTGGCGCCGTCCCCGCGAGTTGCCGCCGCGCCCCGTCCAGCCACCTCTCCACGTTGGCCCTCAGATTGACGTACGGGCCGAACTCCATCGTCAGCGACTTTTCGTACTGCGCGATCCCTTCCTCGAACTTCCCCGCGCGACACAGCGCCGCGCCGTAGTTCGACACGTGCTGCGCTGTGGGCTCGAACGCGATCGCGGCTTTGACGGCGGTTTCGTACAGCTCGAATATCGCCGGCGTGTGTCGTCGTCCGTGCGCCTTCATCAGGGGAATGCACAAGTTGTTGAAGCACGCGTCCTTGAGCTCGCGCGCGTCGATGCGCTCGTTCGCGATCACGTCCGTCGGGTCCATCGCCTCCGCGAGCGCGATCGCCTCCGGCGCGTGCTTCACGAGCGCCGCCTCGACGTCCGCGGTGGAGTCGCAATCTTCGGAGATCCCGAGGAGCGCGCTCGCGAGATCGTATCGCAACCTCTGCGTGTGCGGCTTCATCTTCTCCGGGAGGTTCGCGAGCGCGGTGCGGATCATCCCCGCCGCGCGCTCGCAGTCCCCGGGTTTCCTTCGGTTGATCAGCAAGTTCGCGAGCTGGCACAGCAGCGGCGGCTTCTCCGGATCGTCGTCCTCGAGCGCGTTCGCGAGGGATCGCCCGCACGCGAGGCAAATCTCGATCTCGTTCGCGGTGACGCGTCCTTCCATCATCGGCCGCATCGACTCCACGAACTGGTCGTGGAGCGCGACTTTGTCGTGCATGTCTTTCGCGGGTCGCACCATCGCGCGTTGGGGGAGAGGGAGGGACGCGCGGCGAACGTGTGGCAGGCGCTTCCAGGGGTTTAGGGTGGCTCGGGGGCGGCCATCGCGATGGACGCGCGCGGAGGCGCGCGCGCGATCGGATCTGTTACGATCTGTTTCAATCAAACTGTTGTTCTGTCGTTGTTGTAGACGGTCCCGTCAGCAACATCAGTTCTCCTCGACCTCCTCCGAACGCGCGCAGAGCGACCCGCGCGGCGCACGACCCCGCGCGCGCGCGGAGAGAGCTCGCGCGCGATGGGAAAGGCCGCGCACGCGAAGGGGAAGGCGAAGCTCGAGGCGTTCAAGCGCGCGAAGGAGGACAAGGCGAGAAGGGCGGTCGAATCGTCGCCGTCGGCACCCGACGACGAGTGCGCGAAGGAGGAGGAGACGGCGCCGCCTCTTCCTCCTCCTCCGCCGCCGCCGCCGCCGCGCGCGCGCGCGCCGACGCTTCCGGACCCGCCGGCGGCACCGCCTCCACCATCGACGGAGCCGCCGTGGCCGCCGCCTCCCGCGCCCCTCGCCCCGCGCGCCCCTCCGATTCCCGAGCCCGCATCGTTCGACGTCTCCGCCTTCGCGACGACGGCGTCGACGTCGAGGTTCGATCGAGCCGCCGCGCTCGACGCGGAGGCGCCGCCGTTCAGGGCCGCGGATCGATTCTCCGCGACGCTCGCGGACGCGACGCGTCGACCGAGCGGGAGCGGGACGGCGAGCGGGACGGGAATCGGAATGGGAATGGGAATGGGAATGGAAATGGGAACGACGAGCGACGCGCCCGCCGTCCCGCCGCCGCCGCGCGTCGTGGACGAGCTCCCGACGTTTCGATCGCCGTTCGAGCGCCCCTCCGCGCCGCCGAGCTTCGCGTCGAGGCCGCCGCCGCAGCCGCCGGCGACGTCGGCGGCGCACCCGGCGGAGAAGTGGCTCGCGCGGCCGCGGCGCGTCTCGGACGCCGACGGAGGGGAGACCTCGACCTCGGCCTCGGCCTCGGCCTCGGCGTCGGCGTCGACGCGGCGGCGACCGTCCGCGACGCGCGACGCCGTCGACGACTTGGACGACGACGCGCGGATGGAGCTCGTCGCGGCTCGGCTCGCGCTGAAGGACGCGGCGCGCGAGAGAGACGCGTACGAGAGGGCGCTGAGCCGCGCGCAAGACAACGTGGAGACGCTCGCGCGAGAGAACGACGCGCTGTCTCGGCGGGTCAACGAACAGACCGACCGAGCCGCGGAGGAGAAGGAGGAGCTGGAGCGGCTGCGGCGCGATCGCGCGGTGTACCGGTCGAAGAACGCGACGCTCACGGAGGAGAGAGACGCCGCGCGCCAGGCGGCGACGGACGCGACGGAGCGGACGCGGCGTCTGTCGATCGAGGTGTTTCAGCTCGAGGAGAGATGCCGGGAGTTGAGAAGCGAGTGCTTGCGGTTAGGTACGTTCTATACACTAGTCCCCATACGACCCCGTTCGCGAGGTGGACGCCGATCCTTAAGGACTTTGCCCGGCGCTTCTCTCCGCCCACCCCTCGCTTTCAATACCCGCCCTCGGCGCCTTTCAACTTCAACTGACGCCTTTCAACTCCACCCCGACTTTCGCTCGTATAGAACGGCCCTTAGAGCGCGAGCTGGACGAGCGCGGGGGGTCGACGACGACGAGGCGTCGGAACGGGAACGGGAACGTGGACGCGAGCGCGAACGTCGTCGGTGAGAGCGAGAGCGAGAGCGCGAGCGCGCGCGACGACGACGCGGTGAGGTCGACGAACGGCGCGCCCGGCGTCTCCGTCGTCGGCGCGTCGACGTGGAAGTCCGCCTCCGCCTCCGCCTCCGCGGTGGGCGAGGACCAGCTCCGGCTGATCGACAGCATCCACGATCTGTTGTCCGAGGTGGAGACCGAGCGCGCGCGCGCGAGGGATGTGCTGAGCGACGCGAAACGGCGCGTGAAGGACGCCCTCGACGCGAAAGCGGAGACGGATCGGCGGCTCGAGGCGACGACGCGGCGGCTGGAGCTCGCGACGACGCGGGCGGAGAGCGAGGCGTTCCGCGCGTCGATGGACGCCGCGGAGGCGGCGCGCGCGGCCGCGGCGAGGGCGTCGGACGACGAGGGGGAGGAGGAGGAGGACGATCGCGGGGTTGTCGACGAGAGGAGGCGCGGGCTGTTGTCGTACGTCAATCCGTTCGGTCGGCGACGCGCGAAGAGGTAGCCTTATTACGTACGGTACGTGTGTATTCTTTCTCCTCGGTCAAAAGAAATCGCTCGTTGCGTCACAGCCAGCACGGGGACCCGACGTTCTCGAAGATGCGAATCTCCCCCGAGTACCCCGACGTGGCGATGACCTTCCCGATCGCGGTCCCCGACGCGAACGCGCGCTCCCCCTCCGCGCGCGCCTCCGCTCGAGCGTCGAGCTGTTTGCTCTTCTTCCCTTCCCCGCCCTCGCCGTCGTCCTCGCTCGCGCCGTCTCCGCCGCCGCCGCTCCCCCCGCTCCCTGTCGTCGCGCTCGCGAGGTCGTCTAACTCGTCCCGCATCGACGGCGACTGGATGCTCCCTTTCCGACCCTTGAACAGCGCCGCCGCGGCTCTCGTGGGCTTGCCCGTGATCTTCGCCCTGGCCGCGTCGCACGCGGCGGCGGCGGCGCCCCCGCGCGCGGCGCTCACCTCGGGAGGCGCGAACAGAGCCACCGTGCTTATGTCCGCCTGCGCGGCGAACTGCTCGTAGGAGCTGTGCTTATCTCTCCGGTACCCGGTGTACATCGGATTGATCGACGGCACGAACGAGTTCACCGTGGACCACACGTACACGTTCTCGTCCTCGCTGCCGCAAACGATGAAATCCGCGGCGTTGGAAAACGACGCGCGAATCTGCGAGTTGTTGTTCCGATGGCCTTTGTACTTGCACGCGAGCGAGTACCCGTTCGCGCCGTCGTACACGCGTATCCGCGAGTCGTTCGACGTCACGAGGAGCTTCGTGTCGTCCCCGGGCATGAACTGCAGGCCGGTGACTTTCTTCCCCCCGGGTTTCGTGCTGCTCCTGTTCCGGACGTCCAGCTGGGTGAGGTAATCGAAGCGGACGCCGTCCATCGAGTAAAAGTGGCACTTCCCTTTGTACGACCCGGCCACCGCGCAAGAGCCGTCGGAGGTGAACGTCGCCGCGGTGACCATCTCGCCGATGTCGACCCAGTCCGCGACGCGATGATCCGGGATGTTCCAAAACCGCAACTTACCGTCCAGCGAGCCGGAGAGGAAGTACTTGTCGTTGATCGGGTGAAAGTCGATCGCGGTGACGAAGTCTTGATGCGAGAATATCCGCAGACACTCATCCATCGTCATGTACCACAGCCTCACGGTCTTGTCCATGGACGACGACAACAACCAGTTCGTGTGCGACCAGCACAGGTCCAGGACGTCGCCCGTGTGCCCGGTGTACTCGCGCAGCGGCTTCGACTTGAAGATCCCCTCGCCGGAGATCTTCCCCTTCTCTCTCTCGCCGAGGCCCAGCCCCGCGCCGTCGCCGGCGCCGGCGCCGGCGGACGCGCCCTCCGCGACGTCGTCGCGGTCGAGCTCCCAGACCCTGACCACCTTGTCCTGCCCCGCGGTCGCGAGATACTCGCCGTCGTGCGAGAATCGCATCGTCCATATCGCGTCCTGATGCGCCTCGATCCTCTGCACGAGCCGGAGCTCCGTGTACTCCTTGTATATCTTACGGTTCACGTTCACCTTGATGGCGCTCCCGGGGGGCTCGCGTCCGAAACCCGGGTGCGGGGCGGTGGAGTCCGCGGGCGCGGGCTGACCGCTCGCCGCCGCCGCGGCTCGTATCGCCGCCATCGCCGGGTCATCCGCGTTCTCGACGTACCCGGGCCCGCCTTTCTGCTTCGACGGGCTCGCCGGGTCGTCGCCGTGGCCGTGGACGAGGCCCATGCGTTTCTTGAGCCAACGCTTCGGGTTTCTGCCAAACTTTTTCTTCTTCTTCGTCTTCTCCGCGCCGTCCACCGCCGTCTTCGGGGGCTTGGGCTTCCCCCCCGCGCCGCCACCGTCGCCCTGTGACGTCTCCTGCATCCCCTCCCTGAGGTGCATCTCGCGCATCAGCGGCGACAACCCCATGGACGCCTCGAACTCCGCGATCGTCAGCGACCGTCCCGTCTGGAGATCCCGCACGACGGCGGCGGACGCGTCGCCGCCGCCGCGCCCGTCGCCGCGGTCGCTCAGCGTTTTCCCGCCCATCATGCTGTCCGCGGCGGCCTCGTCGACTAAGAACTCGTTCCCTGTGTCCAGGTCTTTGATCCTGAACACCTTTTCCATCTCGAACTCCTTCACCGCGGAGGACGTCGAGCTCTTCGGCGTGCCGTCCCGAGATCCTCCTACGGATCCTCCTCTGGATCCTCCTCCTCCTCCTCCTCCTCCTCCTTCCACCGGCGCGTCGCCGTTCGAGCGTCCCCAGCCCTCGCCGCTCACGCGAACCGCCGCGATCGCGCCCGTCGGCGAGCTCGGGACGGAGTCCGCGGCCTCGCCCGCGGGGTCCGCGCCCGGCGGCGGCGACGCCTGCCCGGTCACGCTCGGCATCGTCGCGGCGACCTCGCTGAGGACCATCGTCCCGCCGTCCAACCCCGCGGGCGCGGCGGACGCGCCGCCGCCGCTCGCGCGCGTCAGCCACGACGGGCTCGGGGGTTCGGACCTGTGATCGGGAGGAGGGCGCGGTGAGTGGTGGGGAGCGGGAAGGGACGCGATCGCGATCGCGGGAGGCGCGCGAGCGAGGGCCGCGGGGACGTTCATTTTATTGGAGCGCGGGAATGTCGAGATCTCGCGCGGATTACGACGGGCGGCGCGTGGGCGCGCACCTGAACGACTCGTTGTCCGCGTCGAAGAACTCGTCCTCGGAGGACATGTCCGACTCGGAATCACCCGCGGTCATCGCGCCGTCGTGCGATCGATCCGCGCGCGTCCACGCTCGCCGCGCGATTTCTGCGCGCGTCCTTTCTGTGACAGACATTCAGAAGAAGTGCAAGTGACCGAAGCGTGCGTCATGCTTTTTTGGCGACTAATTGCCCACTGCCGTTTGTGGGTACTGTACACGTACACGTACTGTACTTTAGAGCTCAGTCTTTTTGTAATCATCAGATCCACACACTGTACGTGTACTTTAGGTCAGTTGATGCTGATGACTCGGCTCGTTTCGATCGGTGCCAACAACGCAACTAGCAACGATGCAGCGCAGCGCACGTCCGCGATTTTGCCCGTTGAAAACCAAAATCTCGCGCGCACTCCCCTCGCGCGCGACGCACTCCCCGCGTCGACCCGCGGCGGCGAGACCACGCGCGCGCGCCCGCGCTCGCGACGGACCTCGCTCGCACCGCGCGCGCGGACGCGCGCGACGCGGCGACGGCGGCGAGACCGCGGGAGGGAAGAAGAGGGAACGTCGTGAAGCGCATTGTCGTCGAAATAAGGGCACCCCCCGAAGAAAGAGAGAAGGACGAAGACCCCGCGCGTCGTCATGCCGCCGACGTACGAGTACCTGTCCTTGAAGGACGCGTACGACGCGAGAAGGAACGAGGTGAACGTGTACGCGGTCGTCACGGAGTGGACCGTCCCGCGCGCGACGAAAGGGACGGACTACCACGTCGTCGTGAAGCTGTGCGACGACACGGTGGGGGACATCTTAGGACCGGACAACAACGGGTTCACGGACATCAGCGTGAACTTCTTCGCGGCGAAGGACCTCCTCCCGCGCCCGAAGAAAGTCGGCGACGTCATCCGCTTACACCGCCTGAAGGTGAGTCAGTGGGAAGGAAGGACGCAGTTCGTCGCCAAGTGCGGCGCGATGACCGGCGGCGCCGCCGCGGGGGGCGTCGCGAGGTGCCAGTACCTCCTCTTCGACGGCGCCGGGCACGAGCACCCGTCGGACGAGCCGTACACGCGCAGCAGCAATAATTACACGATGGAGGAGGGTAAAGACGCCGGGTTCCTGACGCGGTGCCGCGAGTTCTGGAGAGATAACGCGTCGGTGATGGCGATGAACGACAGCGGGTTCACGCGTCCCATCGTGCGATTCGGCAAGGAGGGCGAGCTCACAGATCTGCACTGCAAGGTTCTGGACGTCGTGAAGAACAGAGGGAAGGTCACGCTCGTGGTGTGGGACGGGAGCGACGCGCGCCCCTTCCCGCCGAGCGTGAACAGCGGCCGTCTGGGCGACTCCCAGGAGCAGAGCCAAGAGGGCGTTAACGGCGGCGACGACGAAGTCGACGCGTACGACGCGCATTACTGGATGCCCGCGGATCCGTACGCGCCGCTCACGGAGAAGGACGCGAGGGAGGACGAGATGATCAGAGACACGCCCGGGATCGGGACCGCGCTGCCGGTCGTGATGCGGCAGTTTGACATCGCGGCGGAGGACCTGCCGATGCCCGGCGCGTGGATCAAACTTCGGCAGCTCGCTTCGTGGGTGCGGGGCGGGCAGATGCAGGCGACGTACGTGCACCAGAGCAAGTGGGCGCCCGCGGAGCCGAACCAGGTGTGGCTGGAGGAGAGCGCGAAGCGCATAGAGCAGCGACGCGTCTCGCAGTGGGCGCCGGAGAACCAGATCGGGTTGGGGATGAGCCAAGGCGAGAGTCAAGGCGGCGGCGGCGGCGGCGGCGGCGGGGTGTTCGGGATGACGCGCACGGAGTTTGAGAACCAGCCGTTGCACACGCTGCGGGAGATCGTGTGCACGCCGCCGCCGTCGCGGCATCGTTGCGTCGTGCGCGTCGTGCAGCACTACCCGAAGGATGTCCACGACTTTTGCAGGGACGGGACGGAGGACGCGCCCGCGGAGAAGGGCGCCGCCGCGAATAAGCGGAAGCGAGGGCTGGGGAAAAAAGACAAAGAACCGAAATTCGAGTTCAACGTCAGCTTAGTCCTCGAGGACGCGACCGGGAAGATCAAAGCCCACCTCGCGCCGCCGGACAGCGACGCGTTCTTCCACGGGATCCAGCCGTGTAACTTGTGGGAGTCCGAGGTGACGTACGCGCGAGTGAAGGACAAGATGACGAAGCTCACCGACCACAAGCTCGGCGCGGAGAGAGCGGGGTGGGTGCAGTGCTGCGTGATGTCGTACGTCGTCCCGGGTCAGAAGCGCGGGGACCCGCCGAAGCGGTGTTACCGCATCTTCGGCACGAGCTGCGTCGCGTGAGCGAAGAGAGAGACGCGGTCGGTCGGCGCTCGGTGAAACGAAACGAACGAACGTCTCGGCAAGAAGGGAGGAGGACGTCTTCTGTGATGGCATAAAAACCGCATCCATCCTCTTCCGCTTTACCCCGCGCGCGCCTACCGAACGCGTCGCCGCGCCGCGCGTTACTTCTTCCCTTTGGAGACGAAGTTCGACACGTTCTCGAGCCACCGGGTGTATTCCCTCTGCTCCTTGTCGATGTGCGTCTCCATGATGAACCGCGCGAGCGTGGAGTCGATCCCTCTCGCTTCCAAGTACTTGTGGAACTCCTCCTGAACGCTCTCGTCCAGCTCCTCGTATTTCGGCCCCTGGTACCTGTTGCCCGCCATAGAAAACCCGTCGAGCTCGTCGAGCTCCATGCTCTCGGCGTCGGTGTACCGAACCTTCCTCACCTCCACGGTCTCGCCGTCGGTCGCGCACTCGAACAAGAGGGCTTCCTCCTCGTCGCCGCGCGTGACTTGCACGTCGAAACTGATCGTCACGTCCTCGTCCTCCTCGTCCTCGACGTCGTCGCCGTCGGGGGCGAAGAAGTCTTCCTCGTCGTAGTCCGAATCCTGGGCGGAGAGGCATTGGGCGTCGGCGCGAGCGGCGCGGGGTGGGGACGGGCGGGCGTCAGAGAGAGCGACGGACCGGACGCGGGAGATGGAGGACGGAGCCCGCCCGAGAGCGAAAATGATGACAAAAAAAAGAACGCAACGCGTCGATTCGAGGAGGAGGTTTTAGGGTTGACGCGCGGGCGCGATCGACGCGATCGCGCCGCGATCGCGCCGCCGGGCGACGCGTGGACGCACATCCGTCGCGCTGAAGATCACCGAGATGACCTCGTCGTCGCCGTACTCCCGCGTGAGCGTGATCTCGCAGTCCCCGTCCGTCTCCGCGAGCTCGAACGGCTCCGGCGGGCCCCTGCCGACCACCTCCGACGGCGCGTACGTCTTCCGCTCGTGCTCGAGCTCCTCGTTCAGGACCTGGGAGAGGCCCTTCGCGGCCGCGGGGGTCTCCGGGGGGGCGTCCTCCGCGCGCGCGCGCGCGGACGCGTGGAACGCGTTCGCGGCGACGCCCTGGGACGCGCGCGCGGACGCGGACGCGGACGCGGAGCGATCGGCGGCGATCTGGTAGTAGTTCCGCGGGGACGATCGCGCGACGCGCGCGACGACCGCGCGCTCGAACGACGCGACGGACGCGCTCGTCGAGGACGAGATCGCGGCCGTGGACGCGCGGCGGAGCGCGGAGCGAACGCTGTTCGTGAACATGGTGTCTCGACCGCGGGTGCGCGCGTCGATCTGCGCGCCCGCGCGGTGACGACGCGAAAGGGAACAAATGCTCAACCGACAGCGACACGCAGGCTCTGCTGCTGTGTGAGGTGGCGAACGCCACGCAAGACATCCAAGATGTCAAATCGCGACCGTCGTCGCTCGCGCGCCGCGAACGAAACGTCTTCATCACTTCTCTTATAAAAGAAAGGTACTAAATGATAACGATACAACATGCGACGACCTCCCCGCTCGTACCCCTCCACCGCGGCGCGCGCGCGAGCGAACGCGCGAGCGATTCGATTTGATTCGATGCGGCGTTTTCGACGACGCGTCGTCGGCGCGCCGCCTTCATTCGCGCCGCGACCAACCAGACCGGCGGCCGTGTCGTTCCCCCGTCCATCCCCCGTCCGTCGCATCACCCCATCCCGCCCTTCGGCCGCGCGCCGCTCGAGATGGCCCGCGCGAGCCTGCACTCGATCTCCCCCTCCGCCTCGGGCGCGACGCTGAGGTCGCACGCGTCGTACCGCGCCCTCCCCGCCGCCACCGCCTCCTCCGGGCACTCCCTCAGCAGCGCCTCGATGGAGTCGTCGACGAGGTTGAAAAAAGTCGTCGGCCCTTTGAAATCCACCTTCACTCGCGCGTTGTTCGCGTACAGCATCGCCTCGCAGGTGGAGACGCTCTGGATGATATCCTGCACCGCGTAGGGGTCGGCGCCGTACGCCTTGGTGGGGTCGAGGGTCCACGCGAGGCGACGACGTCGGGGCGGAGTCGAAAGGCGTCAGACTTGGGAGTCGTGAGGCGTCGAGGTGTGTCGGGATCGAAAGCGAGGGGTGGTGGGCGGAGAGATGCGCCGGGAGAGAAAGTCCTTAAGGAATGAAGTTCACAACGCGAACGCGGTCGTGTGGGAACCAGTGTAACCAGAACGCACCTCGGAGAGCGTCGGGAGCGCGCGCTTCAGCGGGCCGCTCACGCGCGTGGACGCCTTCACGGACAGCTGCGAGAGGTCGCACGGGAACACGGGCGCGGGGCACGTCTCCTCGAAGTCTGCGATCTGCGCGAGGACGTCCTGGACCGCCGCGCGCGCGGCGAAGACCGTCGCCATCGCCTGCGTCGGGTCGGTGATGGGGATGTCGAGATCTTTGTTGTAGATGGCCGCCGCGGGCTGCGTCGGGAAGGACATCATCGACGAGACCGCTCCGAGGGAGCACGCGGCCGCGGCGCGGCTCAGCGCCTCGCGTCGGGACGTCGGCTCCGGGGACGGGCGACACGCCATCTCGAGGTACTCCACGAGGAACGCGGGGTACGAGTCCTCGTCCGTGATGGCGTGCGCCATGTCGGCCGCCGCGCGCTCCGGCGCGTCTCGTTTCGGGGTTCGTTTCGAAGATTCGACGATCTTTTTCTTCGGCTTGGACGGCGCCGCGGTCCCGCGCGCGGCGACGCGGCGGGATCCGCGGTTGCGTTTGCCCGCTTTCGAAGGCCCCGCTCTCGCGGCGGAAGACGCGACGAGCGCGAGTGGGGACGTCATCTCGCTCGTGCTAGCGCGTGTGTCGTCGCCGTGTCGCGTTGTTAGGTTTATCCACTTCGACGCCGCCGCGAGGAAAAGTGCAATTTCAGGTGAAAGGGTGTCCACGGTCAGGTTGAAAGGCGTCGCGATCAAACTTTGAAACCGAGGGATGGGTGACGTAAGGTCTGCAAAAAGCAGCAAAAAGTGCAGTGTCACGCAAGCGCAAGAAAGGACGAGGGCAAATTCCAGAACGTCGCTCGCGCGCTCGAGGACAGCACGCACGGGCCATCATGCGCGCCGCGATCGCGTCGCCCGCCGTGCCGCGCGCACTGTGGCGATCGACGCCGAAGCGCGTCTCGCATCGCGTCAAGAACGCCGCGCCCTCGCGCCGCGGGCGCGCGGGTCGGTTCCACCGCGCCGCCGATTCCTCCAGCAAAGACGGCGGCACGACCGCGCGACTCAGGGCGGTCGCTTCCTTCTCCCCCGAAGGAGACACCGACTACGTCGATCTCCCGGTCGCGAACCGCCGCGCGGAGCTGATGAAGATGACGATGGCGCAGATCAAGCCGATGCTGCGCGGTGCCGGGTTGAAACTCGGCGGGAAGAAGCCCGAGTGCGTCGACCGCCTCCTCGAGCACGAGTTCGGAACCTCGGACGACGAGGCGGACGTGGATCCCGCGGAAGACGTCGTCGGCCTCGCGAAGGAGTGGCGCCGCGGACGCGTCGTCTCCGGCGGCGTCACCCTGGGCGACATCGACGCCGTGGACTCCGCGCTGAGAAGCGCCGGGTTCGATACCATCGCCCCGAGCGGCGGCGGGGGGAAGGGATGGATCGACGAAGCCGCCGCGGACGCCGCGTTCGGCGGCGGCGCGTCCTTCACCGACACGAGCACCAAGTTCGAAGCGTACGAGTCGCACGAGGGCGGCGCGGCGCAGAGCGCGGCGGCGCGGCTCATGGGGAAATCCGACGGCGCGTTCGACGACGGCGGCGGGAGCGGATGGGACGACGGACGATCCGCGGGCGCGGACGAATGGGAGTATTCGGACGCGTACGCCGCCGCGCCGAGAGCGCCTTCTGAGGGGACGACGCCTCAAACGCCTCAAACGCCGCCAAAGGTGGACGTCAAAGCGGAGAAGCTCGCGAAGCAGCGCGCGGAGCGACGGCGGCTCGCGAAGCGGAGCGCGATCGTCACCGCGCTCAGGCAGCTCGCGACAGAGAGAGACGGCTTCGAGGCGGATCCCAGGGTGCACCTCGAGGCGGTGTCTCGCGCCATCGACGTCTCGTATCGAAAGTTGAAGCACTCCAAGTTTGCGAGGATGAACGCGAACGGACGCGACGTGTGCGTGGACATCAACGTGAGCGAGGGCACGTTGCTCGTCCTCGCGCAGAGGATCGGGCGAAGCGGCGCGGTGGAGTACGAAGAGGACGACACCGAGGCCTTTCTCGAGGCGTACGGAAAGCGGCACATGATGCGGAAGCTCGCGTACGCGTTCACGGACGAGCTCAGCGAGTGCGTCGCGGCGACCGCGGCGAACAGCTATCGCGTCAGAACCGGGGAGATGGTCGAGGCCACGGTCGTGAGCGAGGGGCGCCGAGGCGAGTATCTCTTAAAGCTCGACGACGGCGCGTTCGCGTGCCTTCCCGCGGAGGAGGGCATCCCGGAGAAGCGTTACGGCCAGGGCGACCGCGTCTCCGCGCTCGTGTTGGGCGTTGAGGACCAGACTTGGGCGGCGGACAGACGCGCGCCCGTGGTCGTCTCCACCGCCATCGCGGGGCTCCTCGCGGAGGTGTTAAAGAAGGAAGTCCCGGAGGTGGCGACGGGTGACGTGGTCATTCGATCCGTCGCGCGCGTGAGCGGGAAGATGTCCAAAGTCGCGGTGTCGCGCAGAGACGGCGCGGTGGGAACATGGGACCCCGTGCTCGCGTGCGTCGGCGAGAACAACTCGCGCATGCTCGCCATCCGCGAGCGGCTCGGCGGCGAGACGTGCCAGATTCTGACGTGGAGCGACGTGCAGGAGGAGATGGTCGCCGAGGCGCTCTTCCCCGCGCAAGTCGTCAGGGTCGACAAGGCGTTGGAGGAGGCGGACGAACACGGGGGGAAGGAGTTTGCGATGGATAAGTACGTCGCGTACGTGAACCAGTTCGACGAGGCGAAAGCGATCGGCGCGGGCGGGATCAACGTCAAGCTCGCCGCCGCGCTGTGCGGGTGTTTCATCCTGATCGAGAGGTACGAGCCGGGGAACGCTCACGAGCGACGCGGCGGCGGCGAGTTTCGAGGCGACGGCGGACGCGGCGGCGGCGGGTGGGACGACGCGGAGGAGGACGTCGACGCGTTCAAGATGCCGTACCCGGACGACGACGACGACGACGACGACGACTATCTGAGCGATCTGAGCAACTTGAACCGCAGGACGCGATCGATCAACCTCGAGAGCGACGGCCTGGACGAGCTCGGGTGGCCGACGGATCGAGCCGACCCGAAGACGCCGCCGCCGCGGGAGGAGACGGCGTTTTCGCGCTACCGCACCGGCGGCGACGTCGAGCTCGACGACCTCGGCTGGCCCGACCTCGACCCGCCGTCCGCGGCCCCGAGGGTGGATCCCGATCGCGGTCGCTTCGACGATCTGATCGCGGACGAGTTGATCGCGGACGACGACGAGTTCGGGTTCGATTTCTTGAGAGACGCGGAGGGCGCGCTCGATCGAGACGCGGAGGAACGCGGCGTCTTCGACGACGACGTCGCCGTCCCGAGGGACGCCGCGGACGACCCCGCGAACTGGGAGGAAGTCGGCCCGGGGAAGGTGGGCGCGGTGATGTTCGGGAGCAACCTACGCGCCGGGATCACGGGCGCGTGCACGTTCATGGGCGACCCGGAGCCGACCGAGGGCGCGGGCGCGGCGGACTTTTTGGACGACGAGTTCATCCCGAACGAGACTCGAACGTTCGGCGACGACGCGGACGAGGACGGCGAGTTGGGGTACGACGACGAAGACCTCTGGTAGCGTACAGTAGTTTTTACCACCGAATTACCGTTCTTTAATTAACTAATAACGTGCTGTTCACGCCTACGTATCGACTCGCGTCATCACGCCGCCGCCCCCACGGTGACGTCCTCCGCGGCGGGCGCGAACCCCAACACGTCCTCCGCGAACGACCGCGCGTCCGTCTCCTTCGCGATGAGATCGTTCAACGTCGCGCCCTCGCCGAACAGCGCCACCGCGGCGGCGTCGAGCTCCCCTCGCGTCATCGGCTCGCCCTCGTGCGTCAGCGTGCGGTACAGGTCCTTCCTGTCGATCCCTCGCCCGATCTCCGCGTCCGCGCCGAGGGCTTCGAACGCGGCGTCGATGTCCTCTCGCTCCACCGCGAAGACGCTCCTGTGGTTGACGTAAATCGCGACGAAGCGATCGAACGAGATGGACGACGACGCGTCGTACCCCTCCGCGTTCAGCTCGACGTACATGTCCCTCAGCTCGTGCTCGGTGGGGAAGTGCCCCAGCGCGCGCATGAGCTTCGGAAGCTCGGACAGCGCGACGGTCCCGCCGAGCCCCGCGGCGCGGTCTCGCGTCGCGTCCTCTCCCTGCGCGCGCAGTTGCGCGTAGAGAAAGTAATCCTTCGCCTCGCGGTAAAACTCCCCGTCGGCGCCGCCTTCGAGGAGCGCGGCGAAGCGGTCCGCGACCGCGCCGACGCCGTCGCCCGCCGCCTCCACCGCCACCGCGATCGAGTCGTCCAGCGCGCGCGCGTTCACGCCCCACGCGTTCAGAACGCTCCCGGCGTCGCCCGGGACGGACCCGCCGCCGATCGTGAAGACGGCTTTCCCGTCGTGCCCGAGGACGACGACGCCGACGCTTCCCGGGTGCGCGATCATCCCCATCGCGCGCGCGGGGTCGCCGTCCAGCGGCAGCGCGCTGACGCCCAGGACCTTATCGGGGTGCGCGTACACGAGGTGCGTGTTCCCGGCGTCGCCGCCGAACGCGGTCATGTGCGACAGCGGCCCGCCGTACGTGGGACCCAGAACCGTCTTGACGCAGACGAAATCGTCCAGGGTGATCGTCCGCACCTTGTACGAGTCGTCCGCGACGAGCAGCCGCGGGGAGACGTGTTGTTTCATCGAGTCTTCGTCTTCGTCTTGCGCTCCCGCGTCGCCGTCGCCGTCGCGCGCGTGGGGTAGGAAGCGCATGGACGTCGGGATGGACGTCCCGCCCGCGGCGCGCCCGCCGAGGACGTCGTCGCTGACGCCGAGGAGCTTCACGCCGCCCTCCGCGGTGCTGTTCTTGACGTCGAAGCGCACGAGGCGACCTTCCGCGCCACACGACACGAGCTCGATCTCGCCGTTTAGTCGCGTGTGGAACTCCAGGCCCACGATGTGCGCGTCCTTGCCGTGCGCGCGGTGCTTGCCGACAAACTCAAAGACGCGTTCGGATTCCTCCTCCAACGACCGCGGCTCGCGCACGGGACCGAGGAGCTCGAAGAGAGACACGCATCCGCCATCGTCCGACACGGCGGCGAACGAGCACCCGGGGTCGTCGCTCACGACGATCTTTTGAACGCGGTGCGGCGTGAACCGCATCGTTTGCACCTCCGCGAGCGTGTCCGGGTCGAGCGCTTTCAACGTCCCGGTTTGCGTCCCGACGAAAATCCCGGCGCCGTCCGCTCTGTACGCCGCAGCGCTGTGCTTCGGGCTCGTCTTATGCGCGCCGATGCCAAAGTCTTTTCGCACGACCGTCTCCCTCTTCTCGTAGTCCCACAGCCACAACCAAGACCCGGCGCCGACGCAGCACAGCCGCGGTTGGTGCGGGTGCGGCGTCATCGTGACCAGCGGGTCAAACGTCCCCTCCGCGAGGAGCTCCGCGCTCTCCACCGCGCCTCTCGATCCGAGCGCCTCGAACGCGGCGGATCGCAGCCCGAACACCTTGCTCTGGTCCGTGCCGATGATGAAGTCCGGCGCCGTTAACTTCCCGATCGGGCCGTCGACGTCGGAGTCGGAGTCGGAGTCGTACGCGAGCGCGTTCGACGGCGACGGCTGCGAGCCGCCGGGAGCCCCGTCGGCGGTGAAGGACACGGACGTGACGCGTCCCGTCGCCAACCCATCGAACCACGCGACGAGCCTCAGGCGGTGGTCGAAGAAGCGCACGTTCCCGTCCGCTCCGCCGGTGACGAGGTACGTCTGATTGGACGCCGCGCCGGGTCCGACCGCGGCGACGACGCCGAGCGCGGTGACCGCGCCGCGCGTGTGCAGCCGCAGAATTTTAATCGCCCGGCGATCCCCCGGCTTGATGCCGATCGCCTCCGCGGCGGCGGCGCCGCCGGGGGGCACGCCGCCGCTGTCGAAGACGACGACGTCGCCGTCGCGCGTGCCAACGACGCACCTTCCTCCGCCTTTCTCTTTGTACGAGATGTCTCCAATCTGCGGCGGGATGAACGCCGCGACGGTGAACCCGCCGACGGTTTGCTTAAAATCCCTCGCGCTCACCGGCGGGCTGTAATACCGCATGACTCGCGCGTCGTTCCCCGCGAAGGACGCCTCCCCGGACCGCGCCGAGGGCGACGACCCCGCGTTCGAGGCGCCGTCGTCCGTCTCCTTCGCGCTGTCGCGTTCGCCGCCGTCGGCGAGCCAGAAAAACACCCTCTTCGCGCCGTTCGTCGCGAGCTCCCTCGTCGTCGTCGGGTGAAACTTCACGCAGACTTGCGGGTCCCCCTCCGGGACGACGCCAATCAGACTCGGCTCGAGGTCGTCCGCGCCGTCGTCGTCGTCGTCGTCCCCGCCAGCGGGCCCCAAGTCCGGCAAGTCATACACGTACACCTCCTGTTCCGCGGCGATGTTCGCGCCCGCCGCGTCCGGGTGCTCGCTCTCCGTCTCCGTGTCGTACGCGCGTCGCACCTCGGAGACGCCGAATCCCGGCGGCGGCGCCGACACCGCCGCGACGTGCTTCCCGCACGGCGTGATGTCCATCGCGCCGATGCCGTGAGGGCTCGGCGACGGGATCGTTCGCGCGGGCTCGCCCGTGGCGACGCACCACACGACGATCATCGCGTCCGGGCCCGCGTCCGCGGTGGCGACGTAAGATCGATCGGCGGTGGCGACCAAGCACGTGATCGGGTTGCAGTGGCCCTGGAGCACGAGCTGCGTCTTCGAGACGCAGTCGAAGATGACCGCGGTGTGCGCGGCGATGTAGCATACTTTCTTCGTGGAGCCGTCGGGCTGTTCGCGGAGGGAGAGAGGGGATTGGGAGGGGGATGAGTGGACGGGATGGGGGGAGAGCAGGTTTGGAGGGATCGGCGCGGGCGATCGACCGATCATCCTAAAACGGCGACGCGGGGGACCACGGAGGGAGGGCGCGCGACGCGACGCACCGCGGACAGGTTGACTAAGCTGCCGGTGAGGTTGCTCGAGAACCCGTACGCCCACTCGAGCGACTGCGGAATCGAGAGGGGGGGGGGGGTGGGAGGGTCAGCGCGGAAGGCGGAGGGAGAGGAGGGCGGAGGGAGAGGGCGGACGAGGTGCCGCGCGCACCAGCGCCTGGTCGGCCATGGCTATTTCCGGCGGACGACGATCCCTCTCGACGCGGACGTCCGAGGCGCCGGACGCGACCGTCGAAGCGCCGCCGCGCGAGCGATGCGGTGTTCCCGCCTCGCGCTTCGCGATACGCCCGCTCGCGTCGAGTCGAGCGCGCGCGCGAGTGAGGGGACGGGCGCCGGGGTCGACGGGCTCGATGACCTTCCCGTTGGATTGAGACGACGACTGCGTGGAGCACGTGACGCGAGACGGCCTCGAGTGCGCAGTGCAGTGGCATGCAGTCGCATACGGTAAAAGTTTCCCCGCCCCGCGCCTCTCCTTCCCGCCGCTATCGCCGGTCCTCCTCGTCCGAGTCCTCCCGCCGACGCTTCCGTCGTCGCCGCCCGTCGCCACTCTCGCTGCCACCGTCGCCGTCGCCACCGTCGCTGTCGCTGTCGCTCCGGCGACGCCGCGCCGCGCGGCGTCTGCGTCGTCGGCGTTTTTCCCGGCGCTCGCGCCTCCGCCGCTTCCGCCGCCGCCGCGAATCGCTCTCGCTCTCGCTCTCGCTCTCGCTCTCGCTCTCGCTCTCGCCGCCGCGGCCGCGCTCGCGCGGCCGGTCCCTATCTCCTCCCCCGCCGCCGCCCTCGTCCGTGTCGCTCAACGCCTCCACGCCGCCGCCGCCCTCGTCCTCGCCCTCGCCCGCCGCCGCCGCCGCCGCCGCCGCCGCCGCCGCCGCCGCGACGTCAACCGCCCGCGTGTAGCTCTGATACCGCGCCACCTCCAGCGCGTCGATATCGAACACGCGCGTGAATCGACCCCAGGTTACGCCCTTATGGGTCCCGTCCTTCTGAAGCAACGACTTCCGCGCCGCGTTCGCCTCGCGTCGCAACGACGCCGCCGCCGTCACGTGCGAAAAGTCCACCGTGCACCACGCGTGCGGACCGCCGCGCGCGTTCCACGGATACCGCCGCTTCTGCGCGCCCGCGTTGAAGTCGATGAGGTCGAAATACCCCAACGCCGCGATCACGGCGGCGCCGACCCTGGCTTCGAACCCACGGCCGCGAGCGTCCGCACGGCGATCGAGACAGTCGCTCAGCGCGCAGTACAGCTTGAACGATCCCAGCCCGCCGGAGGCGGCCCTGTCGTGGCCCCATCGCGCGCACAGGAGCTTCAGGACGGAGCTCACGACCGGGAAGACGTCGCCGTGGCGGTCGATGAACCGCTGGACGACGATCGCGGTGTCCGAGACGAGGGATTTGATCAGTCGCGCGTCGACCGTCGATCGATCGCCCGGGCGGAGGGCGCCGTCGTCGTCGCCGCGGTCGCGCTCGCGCTCGCGCTCGCGCTCGCGGTCGCGCTCGCCGCTCCGGACGCGCCGACGCCGCTCGCGTCGTTCCTCCTCCGTCTCCGGCTCGCCCAACGAAAAGTCGAACGCCAGCCCGGTCTCCGCGTCCACGCCCGTCACCGAGGGCACGCGAGACGCGAGCTTCAGGTCGAGCCTCTGCGCGAACTTCGCGTCTCGAATCGCGTCGTGCGCGCGCCTCAGCGCGTCGAGCTTCTCGCCTCTCCAGTCCACCAGCATCACGTCGACGTCGCTCGCGAACGTCGTGAGATTTCCGCCCGCGTGGCGCATCGCGGACGACCCGCGCTCGTGCAGCGACGACGCGCGCCAGCACGCGCGGCTCGCGTTCTCGAGCCGGAGCCTCACGACCTCCCTCGCATCGCGCTCCTCCGGGTGCGGCGTCGCCCACTCGTGCACGTCGATTGCCTCGCGGCCGATCTCCTCGTCTAACGATCGCGCGCGCGCGTACCGTGACGGCGACGACGACGACGGCGCCCAGGGCGGCGCGCGCGGGCCGTCGTCGCTCATGCGCGGCGCGTTGTTACCTCCAAGGCGAGGGTATTTTTTTCTCATCACTGCGCGAGTTGCCGGAGCGATCTGAACGTCATCGTCAGTCCCTCCGTCGCGGCGGCGATGGAGGACCGCGTCATGATCTCCGAGGCGCGTAAGCTCGCCGCGCGGATGATATGCTTCGGGTTCGACGGCGTCGAGGTGAACGACCACGCGAGGCGGATGATAGGAAAGGGGTGCGGCGCTTGCATCCTGTTCGCGCGAAACGTGCGCGACCCCGCGCAGCTGTCGTCGATGTGCGGCGAGCTCAAGCGGCTCGCGTCGCCGCGGAAGCTCCTCATCATGATCGACCAGGAGGGCGGCCGCGTCGCGCGGTTGAAGCCGCCGCACTTCACCGCGCTCCCGAGCGCGCGCGCGGTCGGGAGCGCGCCCGACGCCGCGAACGCCGCGCGCGTCGTCGCCGAAGTCGTCGCGAGCGAGCTCCGCGCGGTGAACGTAGACATGACGCTCGCGCCCGTCGTGGACGTGCACACGAACCCGCTCAACACGGTCATCGGCGACCGCGCGTTCGCCGCGGACGCGGACGCTGTCGCGGCGCTCGGCGCGGCGTTCATACGCGCGCTCCAAGCGAAGGGCGTCGCCGCGTGCGCGAAGCACTTCCCGGGGCACGGCGACACCGTCGAGGACTCGCACGACGACGGGCTTCCGACGCTGACGCACGACATGGATCGACTCGAAACGGTCGAACTCAAACCGTTTCGCGCCGCCATCGACGCGGCCGTGTCGAGCGTGCTCGTCGCGCACGTCTCCGTCCCCGCGATGGAGGGGATCGACCCGGGGAAGCGTTTCCCCGCGCCCGTCCCCGCGTCGACGTCGCGCGCGTGCGTTCGGTACCTCCGCCGGACGCTAAACTTTTCCGGGGTGGTCGTGACCGACGACCTCGAGATGGGCGCGCTCTCTCGCGGCAGCGGGATCGACCTCGGCGCCGCGGTCGTCGAGGCCGCGCGGAGCGGCGTGGACATGTTCCTGGCGTGCCACGACGAGCGCATTCAGACGGAGGCGTTGGAGGCGTTGGCGTGCGCGCTGATGGACGGCGGGCTGAAGCGGGAGACGGTTCGATTGGCGGGGGCGAGGCTAGACGTGCTCGACGCCGCGTTCGTTAGCGCGCCGAGGGGGGTGATCGAGGAGATACAGAGGGACGTCGCGGGGTTGGTGGGGACGGAGGCGAACGGGAGGAGGATAGACGAGGCGTTAGGAATAGGGATAGGCGCGACGGAGGCGGTCTAGCTACCGCTACGTGTACCTGATTGGAGCAGCGCGACGTGAACTCGCACTTCCGTACTTTATATTAGACGTCACACCCAGACCGTCCGCCAGAGTGCCCCGGCCTCGGGACGCGTCGACGATGGCGCGTCCTCCGCCGACGACGCGCCCGCTCGATGACGACGAAGCCGGCGTCGTGGACGTGTACTGCCGCGGCCCGATACTCGCGGCCGCGCAGCGCGTCCGGGCGTGGGACGACTCGAAGGACTTCGTGGACACGCCCACGCGAGCGCCCGCGCGCGACGTCCTCGCGGCGTGGCGCGCGTCGCCGCCGACGGACGACGCGTCCACGCGCGCGTTTCTGCGCGAGTGGTTCGAGCCCGGTCCGCCGGAGGCTCCATCCGCGTCGTCGTCGAGCTCGTGCGCGCTGAGGGACTGGACCGAGGACGGCCCGCCGTTCGCGGCGTCGATCGCTCGAGAGGATCTCCGATCGTTCGCGCGGAGCGTCCACGCGCTCTGGCCCTCGCTCGCGCGCGCGCCGTCGTCGTCGTCGTCCGACGCCCTCGCGGAGGCGCGCGCGCCGCGCGACACGCTCATCCCGACGCCGCACGTATCGCTCGTCCCCGGGGAGCGGTTCCGGGAGACGTACTACTGGGACTCGTACTGGGTCGTCGTCGGGCTCCTCGCGAGCGGGATGCGCGACGCCGCGGAAGGGGTCGCGCGCAACATGCTGCACCTCGTGAAGACGCGCGGGTTCGTCCCGAACGGCGCGAGGGTGTATTACCTTAATCGCTCGCAGCCGCCCGTGCTCGCGGCCGCGGTGCTCGCGGTCGTGGAAGCCCACCGCGCCTCGAGCGGCGGCGACGACGGCGATGGCGGCGACGGCGGCGGCGGCGGCGGCGGCGGCGGCGGCGGCGAAGCGCTCGCTCGAGACGCACTCCCTCTGCTTCTCGCCGAGTACGAATACCTCACGCGCCCGGAGCGCGTCGTCAGGGTCGTCGGCGCGTCCGGCACGCCGCGCGCGATGTCCCGGTACTGGGCGAACACGGACGCGCCGAGGCCCGAGAGCTGGCGCGAGGACGTCGCGCTCGCGACGGAGGAATGCGGCTTCGACGTCGACTCGAGCGAGGCGAAGGCGATGTGGCGCGAGATCGCGACCGCGGCGGAGAGCGGGCACGACTTCAGCTCGCGGTGGCTCGAAGACGACGCCGCCGATGACGACGACGACGACGGCGTCGGCAGCGGCGGCGTCGGCGGCGACGCGCCGCCTACACCGGCGTCGCTGCGATCGATTCGAACGACGCGGATCGTCCCCGCGGATCTGAACGGTTTCATGCTCAAGACGGAGTCGTGCGTGTCTCGCATCGCGCGTCTCGTCGGCGACGACGTCGTCGCGGAGACGTTCGACGCGCGCGCGACCGAGCGAGCGTCGGCGATGCGAGACGTGTGCTGGGACGACGCGCACGGACGGTGGAGGGACGTCGTGCTGCCGCGCCGCGCGTCGGACCCGTCGCTCGCGCTCGACGAAGAGATTTCGTACGCGAGCGAAGGGTTCGTTCGGGGCGTCTACGCGTCGGACTACGTTCCGCTGTGGTGCGGCGCGGCGTCCTTGGATCCGAAGCTCGCGCTCGAGTGCGTGAAGTCGATTCGATCGTCCGGGCTGATTCTCCCCGGCGGCGTCGCGAGCAGTTTGCGTCACACCGGGCATCAGTGGGATTATCCAAACGCGTGGGCGCCGCTCGCGCACGTCGTCGTCGAGGGGTTAGACGCGCACGGCGGGGACGAGGGTAAAAAACTCGCGAGGGAGATCGCGGTGAGGTGGGTCGAATCCAACGCGACGCTGTTTCGAAAGACCGGGTACATGCACGAGAAGTACGACGCGCGGACGCCCGGGGAACGACCCGGCGGCGGCGGCGAGTACGTCCCGCAGCGAGGGTTCGGGTGGTCCAACGGCGTCGCGCTCGCGTTCCTCGAGAAATACTGCGTCGCTGTCGCGGATGAATAGCATCCACGACCCCACTAGATAGGTACTATCTTAGACTAGCTATTGTGTAGGTGCGCGTACTTCGTGCGCTAAAAAACGATGCGGTAGCAATATGCGGAATCGCGACGCCCTCCTCACGACGGGCAGTCTCGGGACGTCGGAGGTTGAAACGGGACGCCGAGAAGTTCGAAGACGTCTCTCTCCGTCTTCGCCACCCTCGTCTCCTCCCACCCCGGCGGCCACCAGTCGTTCCCGGCCGCGTCGCGCGACGGCGCCGGCGGCGGGCACTTCAAGTGTTTCAGGCTCGTGGCGTAGGCTTCGTTGTACGACGATTCCAGCGACGCCACGGCTTTCCTGTCGTGCGTTCGAAACAACCCGTGAGAGTTAAAGTACAGGCCGCGACTGTTCGCGTGGTGTCGAATGAACCTGTTGTACTGCTTGCTCCCGGTCCATCCGATGAGCGCGAACGGGAGCTGATCGTGCGGGACTAAGACGATGTCGATCCGTCGATGGCGTCCCGCCGCGGTTCGAAAGACGCCGTAGATTTTGTCGTAGTAGTCCGCGTTCCCGCGCGACTTTCCCTCGTGTTGCTTCCCCAGATCTCGCTTCGCGTTCGACACCTTCTCCCAAAAGTTCCCCATGACGCCGTCCGTGACCATCCGAAACGCGAACGCGGCCTCTTTGTCGTCCCCGTGCTCGCCCAACACCTCGGGCATCCCTTCCAAGATTTTATCCAGGAGCCCGCGCATCTCCCAGGGCGTCCGCAGCTTCGGATGCGTGAGCAGAAAGTCCGCGTCGTGCGACGCCTCGTTCCTTCGCCCGCCGCCGACGGCGATGACCTCCCACGCGTCGTCGTCCTCTTTCGACCCCATCCGCCGCGAGTTCTTCGCGGCTTTCAACACCGCGCTCCGCATCTCCTCGAAATCTTCGATCGGCACCGGCGACGTGAGCTCGTCCGCGTGTCTGATGGCGTACCGTTGCCTGCCGTCGAGTTGGCTCGACACGGCTTGGTCGCCGTCTTCGAGCCTGCGTCGTAACTCCTCGAGCGTTCGCACGCCACAGCGCAGAAGCCCTCGCGCGGTGTTTCGTCCTATCGACGGCAGCGCGCACAGTGATCTCGCCGCGGCAGCCTCCGCGAGGACTACTCCATCGCGGTCGCGCGAGGCATCGCGCGCGACGACCGCCGTCGTCGTCGTCGTCGTCGTCGTCGTCGTCGTCGTCGTCGTCGTCGTCGTCGTCGTCGTCGTCGTCGTCGCGGCCGGGAGCGCCCTCGGCGTCGTCGTCACCTCGCGCGACGCCGGCGCGAGGTGCGCCGCGGCCACGTTCGTCGCCCCCGTTCGCAGCCTCCCGTTCGACGTGTGCCTCAACACCGCCCCCCCCGACGCCCCCGCTTTGTGCGCGTCCACGGCGTCGCACGTCCCCGTCGACGCGATCTGTCGAATCGTCTCGCACGCGCTCCGCCCTAGAAACGGAATCCCGTCCTCCACCTTCGGTCTTCTCTTGGCGGTGATGCGATACGGCAGCGCGCGCACGACCGCGGCCCACTTCGCGGCGGTCCCCTCCATCTCGTTGTACCCGACGCTCTTGTTGTCGTCGTGCTGCGCCGCGGCGCCGCCGCCGACGCGTTCGTATTTTTCCAGCTCCACCAAAACCGCGACGACGTCCTCGTTCAACGACGTCGACTCGTCGAAGCGGCACTGCAAACACAGCTCGAGCTTGCCCATCCTCTTCCCCGGGACGCGGCCGTACGCGCGATGGTCCTCCTCGGTCGCGACGGGCCGCGGGAGGATCAGCGCGAGGTTCGGGTGCGCGGGCGCGGGCGTCGTCGCGAGGGTGCCTTCTTCTTCGCGGCGACTACCGAGATCCTTCCTCTTCGTCGTCGCGGCGTTCGCCTCGTCCTCCTCGCGCTTCCGCTTCGACGGGTCCTCCCCGCGCGACGTCGAGGACACCCACGCGTGCGTCACGATCTTCGCCCCCGGGTGCGAGCGCGTCGCCGCCGCGAGCGTGTCCTCGGACGCGTCGTTCGGAACGACGACGTGCGTCGGCGATCGTCGTCGTCTGTCGTTGTTGTCAATGTTAATGGCGTCTTTTCCTCCTCTCCCGTCCTCTCTCGCTTCGCCCCCTCCTCGCGTCACCGCGACGCTCAGCGCGCGGTACAGTCCCTTGGGGATGACGAACACGAGTCCGTGGAACGGCCTCCCTCGCGGCGGGGTCGACCCGCCGGACCCCGCGACGACCATGCGCGGCGGCAGTGAACACGATGGTCTGGTTGGGTGGAAGCTCCACTCGAACTCGAGCTCGAATTATCGAACTCAACTCAACGACAGGAAGATTCGCACCGCGTGTTTTCTGTTCGAGAAGGCGCGTCAGCACCGCGACTCCGCGCACTTCGCGCCGCGCGCGACACGCGAAAGCGACGATGCGGCGCGGAATACGCATCGCGTTGGTCCTCCTCGCGACCGCGACGCTCGCGCGCGCGGACACGGACCCGTGCGACGCCGTCACGCGCGCGTGCCGGGAGAAGGACTGCGCGGGACGGGAAGTCCTCGCGAACGACTGCGTCATCACCGAGACCGGCTCGAAGACGAGATGCACGTGCGGGCCCGAGCTCGGCGAGGGCGGCGACGCTCGACCGGGCGCGCGCGTGGTCGCGCGCGCGGGCGGGGAGGACGCGAGCGAGCGCGACGACGGCCAGGTGCGCGCGTCTCCGGCGCCGCGTTCGACCCCGCATTGTTTTCGGCAACTTGGCGACCCGCCGCGCCGCGCCGCGCCGCGTCAGCGTCATCACTCAGATCGTCCGTCGTCGTGACCTCCCTCCCCCCGCCCTCGCTCGACCCCCATCCCTCAGGTCACGACGCGCACGGAGACGCACACGGACGCGAGCGGGTCGCGGACGTACCGCATGTTCTCGAGCCGGAGCTACGGCCCCGGCGGCGGCGGCGGCGGCGCGCGCGGCGGCGCGGACCCGTTCCTCTCGGGCATCCTTCGCGCGTTTTTCGGCGACGGCGGCGGTACAGCTGGCGCGTCGACGCCGGGGCTGGGGGGGGAAACGCGAACGCGCGCGGACGACGAAGGACGCGCGGACGACGACGAAGAGGGAGATTCGCGCGGGCGCGGGCACGTCGCGCGCCGCGGTGATGCGGGACCATACGCGTCGTCCGCCGGAGTTGCCACGGCGGGGCCCGGACTCGGGGGCGGGCTGGCGTCGTTCGGGTTCGTCCCGACGCTGCTCTTCGGGCCGCTCGGGATCCGACAGAGGTTCCTGCTGCACCCGCAGTTCGGGATGTACCGCTCGTCGTCTCTCGACGACGACGACGACGAAGAAGGGACGGAGATGGACGACGTCGTCGCGCAGGCGACCGCCGCGGGCGCCCTGGGCGGACACCACGAGAGTCTCATGGACGCGGTGCGACGGTGGAAGGACGCCACCGACGGAGGCGGCGCGCGGCGGGGGGCTACTTACCACGTCTCGCGGGGACGAGGCCAACGACCGGTGGTCGTCCGCGTCGCGAACGGTCTCCCTCTGTTCGTGGACGGCGACGACGGCGACGACGACGCGAAGAGCAGCTCGCCGTGGTACCTCGGCGACGCCGTCCGCAGAGGCGTGTGGACGCTCGTCTCTCTCGCGATGTTCGCCGCCGTTTTTCTCCTCGCGTACGCCGCGGCGTCCTTTTGCGCGCTCGTCGCGAACCGCGGGTGGAAGCGCGCGGTGAGGTACGCCGAACGCGACGGACGACTCGTGGACAGCGACGACAGCGACGACGACGACGATTACGACATGCGGACGCGGCTGCTACCGAGGATGAAGGAGGCGCGGATCGAACGGGTTGACCTCTCGCGCGCGCAGACGGAGGGCGCTCGCCCCGTGAGGGGGTTCGCCGCGGTGAGGGACGAGGAGCTGCTGGTCACCGTGCCGACGACGACGATGCCCCCGAGCGGGCGATAGGGGCGATAGGGGAGATGGGTGGGCGGTGTGTTGTAAAACGAATACGAACGCTGTGCTGTACCGTGAGAGACGCGCGGCGCGCCGGGGGTGGAAAACTGTTCTTCCGTCGCTGACTGGACGAGTCGTCCGTTCTGTCCGTCGCGTCCTTCGCCTTCGCCGTCGCGCGCGATACAAATCCTAGCGCCATGGCGGCGACCGCCGCGTTGGGCTGTCCGCACGTCGCCGCGCCCTCGCGGGCGCGGCGTCCTCCTCGCGTCCGTCCCGCCGACGCCGCCATCTCGCGAAGACGGACGTCGCACGCGTCGTCGTCCTCCTCGAACGCCGCCGCGACGACGACGACGTCCGGTTGGGACCTGAGCGATTTCCCCGACGGGATGATCCTGTCGCTCGCGAAAGACCTCGAGGCGCGCTGGCGATCGTTCCCGAACCTGCGCGACGCGCCGTGCCCGTCGGACTTGAAGTCCATCGACGCGACGTCGGCGAGCGGCGACCCCGCGACGCGGATGCGAATCGAGAACCTGTGCCTCCAGACGGATCTGTTCCGCAAGATGCACCTCGAGGTGGCCCACGGGCTGGGCGGCATGGAGGTGTTGCACGTCGTGATGTACCCGTGGGCGGAGGTCGCCGCGCCGATATTCGCCGCGGACGTCGTCGCGTTCGGAGGCAGGGTCACGCTGTGCATCGCGGACGTCTCCCCGACGGCGTTGGACCTCTCCCTCCCGGAGCATTACCTCGCCGCCGCGAAGGACGCGAAGGCGGCGATGTTGTTGCGATGCCCGGAGATCGAGCCGCGGCCGCTGCCGGAGTGGGGCGAGAAGATCTTATCCCCGGACGCGTGCGTGTGCGTCGGCCCGCCGAAGGAGGACGCGGAGACGAACGCGCAGGCGACCGCGTTCGCGGGGTACGCCATGGCGCTGCACGACGCGCACGTCGCGTGGGTGTCCGACGAAGCGTTCGACGCGAATCCGTGGAACGACGTCCACGGCGCCGGCGTCGCGGAACGCCTCGCCGCGCAGGCGAGATTCTGCATCGAGCAGCTCCGGAACGATAAGACGCGGAAGGCGTTGGAGCGGAGCATGGGGAAGGGGATGACGGACCGGTACATGACCGAAGTGCTGTTCGACGTCACGTGCGAAAAAACGCAGCTCGGTCCGGCGCGACGCGTCTACGGACGAACGCCGGAGGAGAAGCTTGAGAAGGATTTTGATCCCCCGCGGCCGATTAGCGAGGCGAGAGAGATTTACGACGAGAGGGACGAGCGCGAGAAGTACGAGGAGGAGGCGGTCCGCGTGAGACAGGCGATGGAGGGGGTCATGCTCGAGAGGGACGACGACGACGACGACGAAGATTTCGACTCCGAGTTCGAGGACGCAGAACCCGCCGCGCTCGAGGCGGAGGAAGAGGAGGAGGAGGCATAAGGCGCGTTCCTTCTTACACTGGTCCCCATACGACCCCGTCGGCGTGGTGAACGCCGTTCCTTAAGGGCAGAGGAAGAGGAGGAGGAGGAGGAAAAGGAAGAGGAGGAAGAGGCGCTCGAGATGGAGGAAGTGGCGGAGGAAGAGGAAGAGGAGGAAGAGGAGCAGGTGGAAGAGGAGCAGGTGGAAGAGGAGGAACAGGACTTCGCGGAGGAGGACTTCGCGGACGAGAAGTGATGAGATGAGAACTCGAGCCCGACGCGACGAGGCGAGGCTGATCGTTTTTTATGTACACGCGTTTGAGACTAACGCGACAGCTTCGCCCTCTGCCGCATCGTTTCCGCCTCGGGTCGCTCCTCCACCTCGCCCATGAGCGCCTTCATGAAGGACCTCGCGGTGCGGTACTCCTCGTCGTCGAGCTTACCCGCACGCTTCGACGGCTTCGACGGCTTCGCCTTCGACGTCGTCTCGCCGTCGCCCGCGGCGATGCCGCCGAAATCTTCATCCGCGATAGCCGCCTTCTTCCTCGCGTTCGTCGCCTTGTTCACCACGCCGCCGCCGCCGCCGCCGCCGAGCCCACCGTGCCCACCGAACCCATCGAACCCGCCCGTCGCCCCCATCGCCGCCATCGCCTGCGCGACCATGCTCGCCGGGTTCCCCGCGTCCGCGGGCAGCAGCACGGTGTTCCCTTCCTTGGCGATGTTTCCAAACTCCTTCAAGTACAGCTCCGCGACGCGCACGCGCGCGGCTTCCATCCCGCCCTTCTCCATGAGCTGCCCGCCGACCACAGCCAAGGACTCCGCCATCGCGGTCGCCTTGACCTTGATGCTCTCCGCCTCCGCGGTCGCTTCGAGGATCACCTTCGTCTTCGCGCCCTCGGCTCGGTTGACTTCGCTCTCGCGATCCGCCTCAGACTCGAGCACGGTGGCGCGCTTCCGACGCTCCGCTTCCGCTTGCATCTCCATCGCGACCTTGATTCCGGTCGGGGGCACGATGTCCCTGATCTCATAACGCATGCACTCCAGCCCCCACGACGTCGCCGCTTCGTTGATGGTCTGAACGATGCGCGCGTTGAGATGATCGCGCTCTTCGAACGTCTTGTCCAGGGATATCTTGCCGATCTCGCTTCGCATCGTCGTCTGCGCGAGCTGCGACAGCGCGTATATCGGATTCTCCACGCCGTACGACGCCTTGAACGGGTCCACGACTTTCACGTACAGCACGCCGTCGATCGTAATCGCGACGTTGTCCTTGGTCACTGCGGTTTGATTCGCCACCGGGATGGCTTCTTCTTTCAGGTGCCACACGTACGCGATCTGGTCCACGAGCGGCACGAGAAGGTGGATCCCCGCGCCGAGCGTCGTGTGGAACTTCCCGAACCGCTCGATGACGACGACGGACTTCTCCGGGACGATGCGAACGCCGTAGTTCACCGGTCGGCGCATCACCGCGAGGCGGCTCAGGGACGTGTTGTACTCGCGACGACTTTGACGATGGATGTTGACGCCGGGGACGGGCGCGCGCGAGGCGACGCCGTCGTTCGCGGACGACGCGAGCGTCAGCGGGAGCGCCGCGTTCGACGGGGTCGTCGCGAGGACGCGCGCGCCTGCTCGACAGAGAGAGGAGGATCGAGGGGAGGGAGGGAGAAGGAGAAGCGAGTCGTCGTCAGTCGTTCGTTATTACGTTCTTCGACGCGACGCGACGCGCGCGCGACAACCAGATCTGGCGCGGACGGGACGCGACGCGGCGACGCGCGCGACGGGACCGCGCGGGGACGCGCCGGAGGCGCGAGCGAGCAGCGCGCGGGCCGACGATGCAGATCGCATGCTGCGATGCGAGGAGATGGGAGCGTGTGCTGAGCGTCCGCGCGCGCGTTCGCGTGTCGCGTCGTCGGTCGTCGCATCGGCGTCGCGTCGGTCTCGAACAGAGGCGAAAGAACCGACCGGCCTGCGCGATTCTGTTCGAGCGCGCGGGAGTCAGAGAACCCCGCGCGCGGCGCACGTTGCACGCGCGTACGGTCACCATGGGGTCCACACGCCGAGATCGTAAGGCCGCGGAGCCCGCGGCCGCGGAGCCCGCGACGGCGGGGAAAAGAGGCGCGCCCGCGCCCGCGGAGGACGAGCCCGACGCGAAGGCGGCGAAGAAAGCAGAGCCGGAGCCCGCGGCGAAGGACGTCGCGCCGGACGAGGCGGCTCCGATGGACGCCGATCAGGAGGGCGGCGACGCCGACGCCGAAGGCGACGAGGTGCGTCGATCGTTCCCTCGCGCATCGTTACCCATCGCGCGTCGGGGATGCGCGCCGCGCGCCGCAGAGGGCGTCCTCGCGCGCGCGCTCGGGCTGTGATCCGCCCGCGCGACCTCCCTCGTCCCGACCCCGCGTTTGCTCGCAGAGCGCTCGCCCATCATCAATCATCTCGTCTCCTCGCGACCGTCTCGCGCGCGCGCTGACGATCGATCCGCGCGATCTTCCTTCTATCCACCGCAGGCCGCGAAGGGCGCGCCCGTGCGACGAAGCGGCCGCGCGCGCAACCCCGTCCGCAAGGCGAGGGATCCCCCGAAGAAACCCGGTGCGTCCCGCCCGCCGTCCGAATCTTTCGCTGCTCGTTCCCTGCCGCGCGGCGTTCGTTCGCGGAATCCCTAACGTCGCTCGATCGATCGAGCCTCGCCTCGCCTCGTCGCCCCCGCGGCTCGATCGAGCCTTCCGCGAATCGAACCGCGCCTCGCGCGCGACGATCCGCGGCGAAGTGCCGCCCCCTCGACCCCGCGCGTGACTCGCGACGCGTCCCTGACCGCGCCGTCCCCGCCCCCGCCCACCCCACCTTGCCGCGCGTCGCTCGCTCGATCGCCGTCTCGTCCGTCCAACAGACGCGCAAAAAATTCCGTCGCACACGTACGTGGAGAACGAGCTCCTCGCGCCGCACCTGAAAGAGGTGGGGAACTTGCTCGAGGTCAAGATCCCCGCGGAGTGCTGCGCGTCGACGAACCAGCACGTCAAGTCGAGGCAGCTGTGGGGCACGGACGCGTACACGTCGGACAGCGACATCGTCGCCGTGCTCGCGCACCTGGGGTACTACCTCCCGGGCGTGAGCATCCCGCCGACGCTCTTGGAGTTGAGGGCGACGATTCGAGCGACGGAGCCGTCGGAGACGTTCCCGAGCACGAGCAGGAACGGGATCCGATCGCGGTCGTGGGGCGCGCTTCGAGATGGTAACCTCGGGTACGAGGTCGAGAGCTGCAAGGCGATGACCGTGGACGGCAAGGCGATCGAGTTGCACGCGGACGCCAATCGCATCCCGACGCCGTGCCCAACGTTTTTTCCAAACACCGTGGAATCCGTTGTGCACACGCGGAGCAGCCGCGATAACGACGAGCGGAAGAAACGGATGATTCAGCAGGTCACGATCCAGTACAACTTGTGTAACGAGCCGTGGCTGAAGTACAACATAGCCGCGGTCGCGGACCAGGGTTTTAAACGGTCGCAGTGGACGTCCGCGCGGCTTCGAAAGGAGACGTTGTATTTAGAGTCGCACTCGACGCGGTACGAGCTGTCGTGCGAGACAGAGCTGGACGAGGAAGGCGTCCCGGTCGGGATGGCGGACGGGGGGGAGGCGCCGGAGGACACGTACAGATGGGCGCGGTGTAACGCGCCGCTGCCGCTCGAGAACGTCCGCGCGCTCGGCGTGCCGTTGCCGACGAGCGAACTCTCGGACGTGCAGGCGGGGTTGACGTGGGATCAGATCGCGTTCGGGTTGAATTTCGTCGAGGTGAAGGGGGTTCAGACGAAGGTGGTTCGGCTTCAGTACCTGCCGAAGATGGAGGCGGACTGATCTGATCGCGAGTTGATACGAAGACGTGGACGGTATTGGCGATCGCGTCGCATCGCATCGCGCGCCGTCGCATCGCATCGCGCGCCGCCTCTGCCTCTCTCTCGGGGGACGGAGCGACGCCGACGCGGCGACGCGAACGAAGATGGACGATCGATCGCGTCTTGTCGGTTCGGGCCGAACGAAAAACGTCGTCGGCGCGTAGCTAGACAGCCGGGGGGAATACACTTTCTTTCTTTAACATCACGTCGCGCGCGATGACGAAGACGCGCGAAGCGACGCGCCGTCCGGTCCGTCAGAACGAGCGGGTCGCGTCGCCGTCACCGCGCGCCGCCACCCAGCCCCGGCGGCTCGAACCGCCCCCCCATCTCCATCATCGGATCCATCTCCCCCGCGTCGTCGACGAAAAACTCCGACTCCTCCACCGGCCAGTCGTCCACGATGTTCGTGCCACCGATGACGAGCGTCTTGAGGCCGAAATACTCCTTACTGAACGTGATGAGCGAGTTGATGAGCACGTCCATGCCCATCTCGTCCGCGCTGCCCATGTCGACCCAGCACCGCGCCCACTTTCCGCGGTACTCCGGCTCTCCCAACGCGTGAAAGACGCATCGGTTGACGTCGCCGTCGCCGTCGCCGTTGGCGAGGTCCATGTCGTACTTCATGTTGGACACCTCGAAAAAGTTGGACTGGACTTGTGCGTTCTCGCTGTTGAAACCGCCGAGCTTCCCGAGCACGAACCACGCTTTGAAGACCTCGTCGAGCAGCGGCTGCTCGCGCTCCGCGATGGCGTTGTGCGACTCGACCCAGATCCACAGGTTGCCGCTCTTGAACTCGTCAAACTTCACCATCATCGGCACGGTGCTCCCCTCGCGCTCCTGGTACACCTTCTCCTTCTTCTTATCGAACCGCTCGCGAATCCTGTCCTCCACCGCCTTCGGGTTCCCCTCCACGCCGTCCAACAGCGACGCGATCTCCGGGTCGTACTCCGCGCTCTCCTCTAAGATCTCCATCCACTTGAGCTTCGTTCCGTCCTCGTCGTGACCGAGCTTGACCTCCTTCGGTCGCGTCGCGGCGTCCGGTATAGCCTCCGACGCTTCTTCCCCGAGTTCATCGTCGCCCTCGGGTTCGGGTCTCGGGCGGCGCGCGACCCGCGTCGCGCGCGTCGCGACCGCGCCGGACGATCCGACGTCGTCGTTGGAGTAGTCCATAACCTGCCCGCGGGAGAGGACGGAGGACGAATGCCGACAGCGCCGAAATCGAATCGACGACGACGACGGGCGTCGCGTCGCGGGGTTCGCGGGGTTCGCGCGCGCCGCGGGAGCGCGGGACCCTGGACCCGGCGCTCGAATCGACGCGCGCGTCGACGGCGCGAGCGGCATCGTGGTCATCCTTCCGCGCGCGAGCGAGTGACGGGCGGATCCGTGATTGAGCCCGAAAAGCGCGCCGAGGCGACCTTCGATTTCGCTTTCTGTTCGGCGTTTCAAGTCGATTTCGTGACAGGTACGTAAAAGCGACCGCGGACGCGCGCGTCAGATCTCTGCGCGCCTCACACGCGCGTTCCGATCTTCCAACGCTCGCTCACACGCCCACGCCGCTTACTTTACTTCATCGTTGCTTTGTTTCTTTACTGAACTGACCTAACCTTTGCTGTACATAGCGCGGAAGACGACGATGCCGACAGGGATGATGATTGGCGACGAGAATCGCAGCATGACTCCGGGAAAGAGCCAGCGATCGGTGGACCGCTTCATCCCGAGCCGCAGCGCGCTCGACCTCGACATCGCGCATTACAACCTCGTGAAGGAGAACGCGAACGCGAACGACCTGGACTTAGCGAACGAAGTGCAATCCCCGTCCAAGGTGCGACCGAGCGCCGCGGTTCTCCGGCGACGCGTTCGCGTGCCGCTTTCTCCGCGAGATCTCGCGTGTACCCCTCTCGCATTATCCGAGACGCGTCTGACCTCCGCGCCCGCGCGCTCGCGCATCGCAGGAGGAATACAAGAAGCAGCTGGCGTCGAACTTTCTGCAGGATGGCGGCGGGAACAACGCCGCGAAAATCCTCGCGTTCAAGTCCAAGGCGCGTCCCCTCGCGCGCGCGTCGCCCCTCCCCGATCGTCGCGAAAACGCCCGACGGAAGCGAACGCGGACGACGACGTCCCGTCGACGCTCGTCGCGCCCGAAACCGATTCGAATTCCCCCAGGGTCGTCGCGTCCGCTCCGCTCCTGCTCTGCGCGAATTGAACCGAACGGGGAAGAGAACCCGCCGCTGACGCGCGCCGCCCACTCCCCACGCCGTCCACCACTCGCTGCAGGCGCCGGAACCCCCCGCGGGCATGGAGAACGCGTCTCGGGGCGTCTACACGAACAACGCGTCGTCCGGCGTCAAGGCGAAGAAGAACTTTCGGCACGTGCCCAACGCGCCCGAGCGCATTCTGGACGCGCCGGAGCTGATCGACGATTATTACCTCAACCTCATCGACTGGGGCGCGTCGAACCAAGTCGCGGTCGCGCTCGGGTGCACGGTGTACCTGTGGAACGCGGAGACGGGCGACATTCAGCAGCTGTGCCAGACGAACCAGGACAACGAGGACGATTACGTCACGTCGGTGTCCTGGGGCGGCGACGGGAAGCACGTCGCCGTGGGCACCAACGGCGCGGAGGTTCAAATTTGGGACGCGTCGAGGCTGAAACAGGTGCGGACGCTGCGCGGGCACAGCGCGCGCGTCGGCGCGCTCGCGTGGAACGGCACGCAGCTCGCGACGGGTTCCAGGGATAACAACATCATGATGCACGACGTGCGCGTTCGCGAGCACTGCACGGCGACGCTGACGAGCCACACGCAAGAGGTGTGCGGTTTGAAGTGGGCGCCCAGCGGGAACCAGCTCGCGTCTGGCGGGAACGATAACTTGCTTCACATCTACGACGCGAACAGCATCTCGAACAGCACGCATCTGCACAGGTTGGACGCGCACCAGGCTGCGGTGAAAGCCCTGGCGTGGTGCCCGTTCCAGAGCAACCTCCTCGCGAGCGGCGGCGGCACCGCGGATCGGTGCATTAAATTTTGGAACACGAACACGGGCGCGATGTTAAACTCGATCGACACGCACTCGCAGGTGTGCGCGCTGCAGTGGAACAAGCACGAGCGGGAGCTCTTATCTTCCCACGGTTACTCTCAGAACCAGTTGTGCCTTTGGAAATACCCGACGATGACGAAGATGGCGGAGCTCACCGGACACACCGCGAGGGTTTTGCACATGGCGCAGAGCCCGGACGGGACGTCCGTCGTCTCCGCCGCCGCGGACGAGACGCTGCGATTCTGGAAGTGTTTCAGCGAGAGCGATTCCGGGAAAGCGAAGAAGATGAAGGAGAACTCGGATTCGAGCGTGCTGAGGCGCTTCGCTTTCCGTTAAATCACGGCGGCGCGCTTGTGGTGTGCCACCGTGACTGGTGAGGTGGCATTTCATTTTTTTTTATTTTTTGGTTTTTCATCGCAGGTAGCTCTGTCTGTTCATGTCTGACCCAGCCCCCCGATCCGACGGTTGCACGCTCGAGGTGTCACATTAGCCTCGGGCCGTGGCTGTCGGCGCGAATTCACTGTGGACCACATCATGCTGTTGCTTGTCGTGCCCCCGGTGTTTTTACACACCATCACAACTCGCGAGAATCAATCGTCGCTTTTCACCTCATAAACTGTTTCCTTCGAAACGACGCACACGTCTCGTGCTCGCGCGCGCACTCGTTGAATCGCGTCAGATTCACGTAGAGAATAATGACTGTCTTTCAGTACCTTTATAACGTATCTAATTCGACTTCGAGTGCTCGTACGCGATGAGTCGGTCGATTTTGTGCTCCAACGCGCTGATTCGGTCCGCGAGCCCTCTGACGTCGACTGCGTCGGGGTTGTGCCCAGACCTCGCCCCCGACCCCTCCCACCCTTCATTTCGGGTTCTCCCCGGAGATGCAGCCGTGGTAGCCCCTAATTTCACGCGCGCGCGCATCGCGCGCTTCGCCTTCTCGTGATCCTTCACGACCTGCCGCCATTTCTGCACGTACGTGACCCTCGTCGTCCGCCCGAGGAGGTGGGCACCCCCGGCGTCGCACTTCTCCACGCCGGCGACGACGTCCGCGGGATTGATGGCTAATTCACGCATGCAATCCTCCACCTTTTCTCGCGCGAGGCGGTTCCTACGCATGCGTTCGAACGCGATCAGCATGAGCTCGGCTCGGAAGCCGGGGTTCATGTCCTCCAGCTCTAAGATGTCGTACTCCGAGAGCCGTAACAACGTGCACGAGGACGTGGTTATGATCGTCTCCAACCGCGTGCCGTACCCTAACGCCGCGGCCTCGCCGAAGAACGACCCCCGGCCGATTTCCACGCACGAGTCAAGCGCATCCATGATTTCTTCCTGCGACAGGAAGTGTGGCATGTCCTTCAGCGACACCGCGGCGTTCCCGCGCGTTATGAAGTACATCTCGCTCCCGAGCTCGCCTTCGCTGTAAACCACTTGGTACTGCGGGAACGATACCGGCGAGATCCGCAGGCACACCTCGTTCATGAACTGCGAGGTCGCGCCGTTGAATAAGATGATATCGTCTAACCAGCCGTTATACATGTTGTCGAAGATTTCCTTCCTCAGTTGCGCCGGGAGGTCGTGCAAGATCGCCTTCTCGTCGAACTGGTTCTTATTCTGCCACCTGTAATAATGAATCACGCGTTTCGAGACGGTCTGCGGAAGCTTGTTGTTCTTCAGGTACGTGATGACGTAGTGCATCCGGTCCTGAAACCGACGCGCGCTGCTGTCCGGGCTCAGCGCCGTGATCACCGCGGTGATGATCCACGAGCACACGACGACGCCGACGAGCATCGTGAGGATCGCGATCAACAATGACGACGTATTGTCCGAAGTCATGTCGCCGTATCCCACGGACGTTATAGACTGCACCGCCCAGTACATGCTTTGGAGCCAACGCGTACCTTTATGCACAGAGTCGAAGCTGTACGACAAGCCGTAGATGCACCCGAGCCAGTGGCATATGAGCAACGTGAGGAGGTATACCTTCAGAAGCGAGATGAAGTGGTGGTGGTATATCAAGAAGTCTTGATACCGCACGAGCAGACGGGTGATCCTCACGAGCTTCAGGAGCTTCAGCAGGCGGAATATGCGCAAGAGCTTGAGCATCTTCAGCATGTTCCCTTTCAGGTTCGTCTCCTCACTCCCGCACCCGGCGGGGTCGAACGAGCATCCGATCGTGCCGTCGACAATTCGCGTGACGAAGTCGATGGGCAGACACGCGATGGCGTCGAGGCAGAACCACCCTCGGAGGTACCGCTTCGCGATCGCTTTCCGGTCGTCGATCAACACGACAGCATTCCCCTCCAAGTCCAGCCAGAAACCGGTCATGAAGTTGATGTAGAGGTCGGCGATGAAGTACAAGTCTAGAATAAATTCGATCCAAAACGCAAAGCCGTACGCTGGGTCGCCAAACGCAGACCTGTACGGCGTTACGACCGCGATGTACGACAGGAACACGATCTGCCATATGTCCCAGTTCGCCTTGAAGCGGCTGTCGGGGGATATGTACCCCCGAAAGTGTTTCTTCTCCTCTTCTTCGAGTACGTCCTCAGCCGTGGCCTTCGCGAGAACCTTTCCGTAATTCGTCCGAATCGCCGTGCCCAGTCCAGAGAACGCGCCGATCATGGACTCGCGGACGAACCCTTTCCGAACGATCGCCCACGGTGAGCTCAGGCGGGGGTTCAACGACGGGATCTCCTCGGAGTATCCGTCCAGCGCGGGGTCGTCCTTCAACGACGGCACGACTTTCATCGGCACGGAAGAATCCTCGACCTCGTCGTCGCCGCCCCAGTTCTTGAGCTTGTCCTTCGCCTTCCACGTCCGGGGGACGTGCGATGTCTTATCTTTGTACACCTTGCCCGGTCTTCCGTGGTTCTTCACCGCGGCCACTCTTTCGTCCACGCTCACGACGACGTCGCGGTTCATCACGGTCGACTCGGACGGGCGCCGCGGGTTCGACGGAGAGGGCGCAGGAGAGGGCGATTCGTCAATTTCGCTTTCGTCCTCGGCGAATCGGACTCCCGGCTCTCTCGGCCTCGGCGGAAGCGCGCCCCCGGGGGAGTCGTCGCTCATGACGCCGCGGTTCTCGGCGCGACGTCGAGGCGCGCGACTGCGCTCGACAACCGCGCCGGACGCTCGCGCGCGCTCGACAGTGTCGCCTCGTGCGGTTGACCCGCGCTATCGGCGGCTGCGGCATTCAGACGATTCACTTGTCGGATAGGTCGGAGACTCGCGTTACGCAACTGTGCTATTTTGTCGATCTCTGCAGGGTCAAGCTGACCGGGCGTTTCGTTCTCACGGGTCCCTGTTCATCGTTCAACGGGATCAGTCTCGATCGCATCGCACGACAGTTCCAAACATAAAAGCGCAGCGCGGGTAAAGCGCAAAAAGCAATCGAGGGGCGCGGCGCGAGGATGACGCCCGCGCTCCTCGCCTCTTCGATTCGACGATTCGCGTCCTCCTCGGCGACGCGACGCGTCGTCCTCGACGTGACTTCCCTGCGCGAGCCGTCCGTCGCGGAGTTCCTGAAGCACTGGCACGCGTCCGACGGCGCGCCTTTGCTGCTCCGAGGCGTGGTCACTCGGTGGCCGCTGATGGGATGGACGCCGAGCGACCTCGCCGCGAAGTTTGGCGACGTCGTCGTCCCCGTGGAGATGACCCGCGGGGACGCGGACTATCGCGACGCGTACGATACGAGTTCTGGCTCTTACGCGGACGCGGAGCACGGCGCGCGGAGCTTCGTGAGCGGGCACGAGGTGCCGTTGGGCTTATTCGTGGAGTGCTTCATGCGGACGCGCGGCCGCGAGGGCGGGGGCGACGACGACCTCAGAGCGTACCTCGCGCAGCACGACCTCTTCGAGAGCGTCCCCGAGCTCGAGGACGCGTGCAGACCGACGCCGCCGTACGTCGGCGCGGGCGCGATGAAACGCGTGTGGATCGGGCCCGCGAACACGAAGACGCCACTTCACCGGGACCCGTACCACAACGTCTTGTGCCAGGTGTGGGGGAGGAAAAAAGTGATTTGCTACCACGCGCGGGACGAGAGTAAGCTGTACCCGTACCCGAGCGGTTTCTTAAAGAACACGTCCAGGGTCGTGAACGTGGACGACGACAGAGGCGGCGGCGGCGATGGCGGCGCGAACGCGGAATTTCCCGACTTTGCGGCCGCGTCGCGGTGGGAGATCGCGTTGGATCCGGGGGACGCGTTGTTCCTTCCCGCGCGGACGTGGCATCACGTTCGGTCGCTCACGCCGAGTCTCTCCGTGTCGTATTGGTGGGGGGAAAGTAGAATAGGATAGATTTGCTCTTAAAAATAAATCAGTAGACGTTCTTCTCTCTCCGCCGCCGCCGCCGCCGCCGCCGCCGTTTACGGCTGAGGTCGCGCTTGCACGATCCACAACGCGCCGTCCGGGGTGAGGCACCCCTCGACGTCCTGCGGCAGCGGGCTCCCCCCCGGCCCCGCGTTCCCGCCGAGCCGAGATTCGATGAACCCGCCCGCGTTCACGAGCCTCCCCGCGAGCTGCGCGCGCTTTTGGTCGTCCACCGTGAGCCAGTGCGACGCACAGTTCACGGTCGCCGATTTCAGCGTGCCGTCGCCGTCGACGTCCGGCACGAGCGCCGATCCAAACGACGACACCGCGTGCACCTGCGCCGATCCCGGGTTCTGCCGGTCCATGGACACGCGCCACGGCGTGCCTCGCACGGACCCGGACGCGAGCGTCTCGCCGTGCCCGAGCGCGAGCTCCGCGTACGCGACGTTCGGGTCGTTCGTCATCGGGTGCCGCGTCATGAGGATGAACGAAACCTCAGGGACGAGCATCTGCTGCACGAGAACCGCCATCGCGGCGCCGCGCTGCCCGACGCCGGCGGCGGCGCGCGAACCCACGGCGCGCGGGGTGTAAAGCGACGCCCACACGTCCGCGACGGCTTGTCCGAGCACGTCGATCCGCGACGGGTCGACGTTGGACACGGAGTCGTACAGTCCCGCGGCGGAGAGCCCGGCGAGGTCCTCCGCGTTGCCGGAGGATCTGACCATCACCTTCGCGCCGGGGGCGAACGACTGCGACAGCGCGTGCATCGCCTCGTTCGACGGCCGGAGCTGCTTCACGAGGGCCTGGCATTCCACGCACGCGGCCGCGGTCTCGGACGGGTCGTTCACGACCTGCTCGAGGCGGTCGATGAGCGCCTTGAGGCGGTCGCCGACGCCCATCGCGAGCGCGGCGTGCTCCATGGAACCAAACGGAATAACCGCCCCGGGCGGGGCGTTGAACCCCGCGTTCGGGTCTAACGCGAGCGCGGAGAGGACCGCGCACGACGTCGCTTTCGAGCCGCACTGGCCGACGCCTTCGTCCCACGGCAACTGACCGAGGTTCGCGAGCGGTAACACGTGCCCGGCGCGCCCGAAATCGGCGACGAGCGCCGCCGCGGGCGCCGCCGCGACCGCCGCGTCGACGACGCCGCCGAGGCCGACGCCGCCCGGGGCGACGTACCCGCCCTCGTCCGCGTCCAAGGAGATGTTCGACGGCTGCGCGACGAATTTCACCCCCGGGGCGGACTGCAGCGACAGCGCGTGGTTCACCAGTCCCGCGTCTTCGATCGCGACGAGCGGCACCTTGATGGTGATGGTCGGGGTGGCGAACGTCGGGGTGGAGTTCATAGGCGTCAGTTGGCGTTGAAAGGCGTAGAGGGCGGGGATTGAAAGCGAGGGCTGGGTGGAGAGATGCGACGGGAAAAGTCCTTAAGGATCGGCGTTCACCACGCCGACGCGGACGTATGGGGACCAGTGTATAGAACGCACCTTGGCCTGCCGCGCTCTCAACGCGAGGTGGGATAAATGCGGCAGCGCGTGGCACAGGAGGATGCCCGCGACGCCGGGGCCGCAGGTGGAGACCTCCTCGTCCCCGTCCGCGGCTTGCACGAGCAGCACCGCGGGGTTCGCCGCGGTGAGCGCCGCGATCGCCGGGTCCGTCGGGTCCAGTCTTCGAACCGGGACGAGCTTCGCGCCGACGACCTCGCCGGGGACGAGGCAGTCCCACCCCGCCTCCCCGGTCGCCTTCCTCGCGGCGCGTAACAAGTGCGACGCGAGCTTCGCGGACTGGAACACGACCGACGCGCGGATCTGGCCCTCGGTGAAGACCTCGATCGTCCCGCGGTCGATCCCCAGCGACGATCCCAGCGTTTCCGCGCGTCCGTCGAAGAGCTCCGACAAGAGCGCGCAGTAATCCTCCGCCGCTCTGCGCGCCCTCTCCGCGACCGCGCGAACACGCAGCGCGCCGTCCTCCCCGGTCGGCGGCGTCCCGTCCGGACCCGCGGTCGCTAACTCGTTTGCCTCGTGCGCGATGTGCGCGAACTCTTCGCCGTTACCGCCGCCGGCGGAGAGCGCGCACGCGTCCGACGCCGCGGCGAGGAATTTCAACGCCGCGCGCATCTCTTGGCCGTTCATCTCGCTCTTCGGCGGGTCGCTCTCAGCGCCGAGGGCGTTGATCCCGCGCGACAGGAGCACGAACGCGTAGTCCTCGAGGCCAATCTCCGCGAGCCTCCACTGCTGGCGCTGGTCCGCGGACCCGCTGGATAATCCGCCGTCGGTGACTTCGCGGTCGATGACGCGTCGCGCCGCGCACAGCTGGACGAGCGCGTCTTCCAAAGCCGCGAGGAGGACGCCGCCGTCCGCGTTCGCGCCGAGCGCGTCGACGGCGTACTTCGCGGTCACGAACGCGTTGCACGCGTTCGAGACCTCCCCGGGGACGGGCCCTTCGTTCTGGAGCTTATCCAGGCGGTCCGTCACCGTGGACGCGTTGAAGAAATCCTTCAACTCGCGGTGAAAGATGCGAAACTCTTCGATGAACTCCTCCGGGTAGTCCGTCCCCGGCGCGGTGAGCTTCGCGAGCATCGCCTCCGTCGCGACGAGATCCTCCGGACCCGCGCATCGATGCAGCTTGTTCTGGATCGTGTGCTTGATCTCCGCGCGGACGTCGCGGCACTTCCCGTCGCGGTCGCCCTTTCCGTGCGCGATGTCTCGAATGCGCGTCAGCGGAACCTGCTGCGTAAACTCCGCGGTGAACGCGGGCAGACGCGGGTGCAGACGCCTGACGAGCGCCCTGACGTGCCCGTTCCCGGCGTGGTGCTTCTCCACGCGCTCGATGCTCTCGTACATGTGCTGCGCCGCCTTCGCGTGGTGGTTCGGGCGGTAGTGCCCGCCGTCCTCGACGCACGCGATGGCGCCGACGCCGACCCAGAAGAGGTAGATGGCGCCGTATCCCAACGCGTCCATGTCCATCGCGCCCGGGTCGTCAAAGCACAGGACGCCCTCCAAGGCTTGGAGCTTCTGCCTCCACGACGGCGAGTCGCGGTCGCCTTCGACGATCCGCCGCGCCGCGTCCGGGAGGTTGTCCACGTTCCACTGGTTGTGCCGGTCCTTGTTGTGCTCTCTGTGGCCCTTGAGCTCGACGGCGGAGCCGCGCCAGTTGGAGAGGAGCGCCATGTGGTCGCCGCCGTCGTCTTGCGGCGGGGGCGGGGGAGGCGGCGGCGGCGCGCGCTTCTCCTCGTGGTGGTGGTGCTGCTGCTGCTGAGGCGGCGGCGGCGGTGG